AGATTTACTATTTACACAAAATACCTAAAATTAGTCGGGTCTTTTATTCGATGAAATTAAATTTTAAATAAGAAACCATAACCAACTTTGTCCCAATTCCCAAAATACCAAATAATGGGAAGTTAGCATTATGTGGGGTCCAAAACTAAACTAACTATAATATCTTTAGTTTTCATTATTGGATTGCAAAATTAGTCCATACAGCTCAAATTACCGAAATATGGATGGTACCTTTTATGGGGTCTATCGTACAAATAGGTCCAATATTGATAATTTTTGGTAGAAAGATAGCGATTATCCAAAATACTTAAAATACTTAATTTGGTTTAGAAACGTGCCCATACACAGTCGAAAATACCGAAATTTGGAATAAAATTACATAGCTCTATATTGCGAGCTCTATCGTGGTTCCAAGGGCTAAATCATCAGAGAATTTCATTCAGATCAAGAATATATATATTTTTTTGTGTCTCCGCCAGGGATGGTCCGTGTGACGAATTTTTAGGCTTTCGACTGTCAAAAAGGTGTAAACGTCGAAAACGTCATATACCTGTATAAAATGTAATAAATGTAGTAAAGGTCATTTATTCGAATATTATTACCATATACATTTATTTTCATGAATATATATTATTTTCACATATATCTGACTATTCCTTACTATAACTGATAAAAAATTCTTAACATTTTGAAAAAAAAAATAAAAACAATTTATACGGATTTAAGTAAAGCATACCCAATTTCCAAATTGATTAAGGGAAATAGCTATTTTGTCAAAAACCTAATGGTTTTGGTTAGGTTTCCGACGTATGTATTATACGTCGGAAATGTATGTAATTTACGTCACTGTTTCTGACGGACCATCTATGGTCTCCGTTGAATGTTATACCACTAATGATGGAGGGTGGTATAAAAACGCCTATATCGACATCCCTATATTTTGAAGGTAACATATGTAAATATAAATATTTGTTGTATGTGTAAACATTTCGTTTCTCTTCTTCTTCTGCTTGCGATCAGTAGCACACTTGGTAAAGAGAACACCATCGAAACGAATAATTCTAATTAATTCAATATAGAGAGTATTTGGTTTCATCCAACATATTTATGAGAATATGTGAACAAGGGGGTGTGTGTATTAGCACCGCTGTATAAATATTATTAAATTATTTACATTTACTTGAACGATTACTTAAGCATTATTAACACAATATGAACCGAGGAGGGTAGTTTGGTAGCTTGCATAATGTAAATATTTGTTTATTTTGATTTTATTGTTTTTAAGTCTCTACAGTGGTTTGGAATGTAATAAAATATTTGGTAATTTGTATGAAATAAAATGTTTTTAAAATTATTTAAAATTTAACGAGAGAATTTGTTTCTCTAAAAATTTTTAATTAAGTTTTAAAACTAAAAAGTGTAGTTTTAGCATTAAATTAGGCAAGAGTAGAGAATAAGATAAACAATAAAATAATTTATAGAAATTCACAGAGATTAAGATTGTTTACTAGCAGTACTTCTGTAATTTGTTTTTAAAGGTCGGTGGCGCCAAACACCATGTTTTGATACAGGGACGTACCAGAGTGCCCGGCGGTCCCCGTAATTTATTTATTTTTATATACAAAATTTGTTTTTGCAATGAAAATTTTCATGTTGAAACAACGTAAATCCCTTAAGTCTGAATTTTTTAAAGGTCTCTTTTTTATTATGGAACCACTTTATGTTATGATTTTTATATAATTTATAGCCTGATTCTATTTTTTTAAATAGTGATTCCTTTCTTAAGGTGATTAATTTCCACACGTATCATAACACTGTGCGCCCCAATGTATATTTACGCACGCATTTTATTAATACTAATCGAAGCCAAGCCAAAACAACCAAGTGGGAGAGAAGTTCCATAACACGGTCGGTCGCTTGATCGGTCACAAGTTTGCTCAAACCGCGGCCGTCAGCAGCAGCAGCAGCGTCTTCGAATAATATCGGTCTGGAACATTAGCTGGCTAAAATGTTAAAACATTTGCATTTTTATTTTCAGTGTTTGCCGACGAACGCACAACATTCACACAGACGCTGGCTGCTAAGCAAAACCTTTTATATATTAGTTCATATCGTGCTATCGCCCGGAAAGCAGCAGCATCAGCCGCCGCAGTAACAATAGCCACCGCAACAATATCCATCGCTCGGACTGCCGACCATAATTGGTAAAACCAGTTCTACACTCAGCTATCAAACAAAGTATTCAAATTGCGGATTGATAACCGCCACAATAACGCCAGCTATGACAAGCTCGTCATTGTAATCTCCAAACGAAAACAAAACATTAAAAAGATAAACAAAGTCACCTCGCGACACCTCAAAAACAACTACCCGAAGAATAGTTCTACAATAATTTAAATAATCTTTAATCGAAAACAAAAAAATCTAATCTTCGGAAATTGTAAAATTTATAAGGTATGAAGAGAAGAAAGTGGCCAAAGCAAACACTAAATATTCCATGTTTCATTCAATCAAGTGTTTATATTTTCCAATATCAATTGAATTGCAATAATGATTGCTTATCATCAAAAACTCAAACTAGCTAGATTATGCCGGATAGTGACAGTGCACGTTTTTCATAATACCTTATAATTTTAAGTGAATATTTTATTCAATGGTGTACTACCAACAATAAAAAAATCTTAACTGCAATAGTTGTGATTAAACATATTATATAATAAATGATTTATCCAGATAAACAATAACAGAAACAAAACAAAAATAAAAATCAAGTGCGTGATAGAGGCCATTACCGCATTTAAGGTGGTATCTGAGACACAGTCAAACCAACCAGCCACAACCACGCTTGCACACATCAGTCAGATTGAGTGCAGATTGTTGGGTATTCAAAACGAAATCTTTTTTACGTGACGTAGCGGTGGTGGCACAGAAAGAAATATCCAAAAGAAAAGTGAATTTCAAATCGCATTCATTTGATTAACAACAACTAAATAGCAAATCAAACTGTCACACAAACACGCAAACAGTATGTACGGGTATGTGGCATTGTGTGTGTGTGTGTGTGTGTGTGAACATATAAACAAACCGTTCGGACAGTGGCTCACGAATATCGTCAATGTTTACATTTGTTTTTGAAATACATAATAAAATATTGTGTATATATTATTTCTTATAAATTCAGCTGGGAAATAAAAAACTAGTCAACAAATGAATCAGCAGTTGTGGGGCTGGAAAAGAATTTAAATTTTCATAAGAGAAATGAAGTTGGCAAATAACATTTTGAACATCTGGGGTAAATGAAAAAACACCGTGCCGCAGAAAAAATTCCATCTATTTCCATAGTAGACTTGAGTGTATATTATTGTATTTTAGTCAAAGTACATATCGATTTATTGTCATTTTTAAACAATGCCGTGACTTTCAAAAATTCAAAACATGTGTATGTCTCTTTTTTAAACCTTCTTGCATATTGATGGAAATTTCCATCATACCAATAAATGCCCAATAAAGAATTTATTAAATATATTTAGGGAAACCCTCCCCCATTATTCTCGTTTTGAAATTTCTGCGATCGAAGGGCTGGCAAATGAAAGTGCAATATATTGAAGATTTTTTAACTACCCATAAATGTATTTGAAAACTTACGGTTGTTTTTATAATTAATTCTTTCCGATGGCGGACATGATTTTCAATTTTTTGATTGTAATTGTTTTTTCTTGAAATGAACATTTTAAAAGAATGCTGTTATTTTGAAAACGATTTCTTAAAAAATTTTTAGTTTAAATAAAAAATGCAGTTTTTTGTTGAATTTATAGTATAAACTAATTTTTTTAAAATATTTTTTTCATTCAAGGGTTAGAAGTGAACCGTTTTTCTGTTAAATATAATGAAATTCAAGTATGTACATACATATGTTTGTCTATTACTAATATAATTTATCATTTTCGGCTCACCACTCTTATAAAATTTATAAAAAAAACTAAAAAAGAATTTTTCAACAAATAATGCGATTTGCCATTTGATTTCAAAATTTTGTATTCCATTTTTTTGTTTATTAAAAACAAGTTAAAAAATCATAAGGTTCGGCTAGGTGTAAAATACATATCAAACTACAGACTCTCGGATTGAAAAATTGGAAGATTTATAACAACCCAAAATATCAAATCGTAGCCAATTAGGTTTGAAAATGTACCAAAAATAGCGAAGAATAATTATTTCAACCAATATTGATAATTTTTTGTAAGAAGAATTTCATTCCCAATTAGAATCAAAAATATTGGGTGAAATTTTTTTTGCAAAATAGTCAGGCTGAATCCCAGTTTGTTGCTTTTATAAAAAACAACTATTTATTAGTGGGAAATGTATGGCATCGACAGCTGAAAGGTAACGCAGGGTAGACTGTAGTTTCGGATCTCGCCACTGATTCTCATCAGTTCCCTTAGTTTTTTGTTGGGATATTCTCCCCAGAAGCTATTTATAGCTTATTTACCAAAAAACCTTTCATACCTAAATGTCCCTGAGAATACAAAAACGTACAAGAAATTCCCAAAATACCGAATATATTTATATGAAGGATATACCAAAACGTGAAGTTTTCAATATAATGAATACTAGGAGTACGAACGGCTAAATCGAGAATTTTATTCTGATCAATTGGAATGTCAAATTTAATACTCCATCCACCATTATATTTTAAATTGTTGTTTTTTCTGAAATGCATTGCTTTGAAACACTGTCTGAAAAACAAAAACAACTTGAATTACAACACAATGACAGCAACAACGATGGATGGATGAATGATTTTAATGCGACTGTTAATAATCTTGACATACATATATCCAAATATGTACGACGAGTACATGTCCCAAATAGGCGACATATTTACAATTACATTGTCATATATACATACATATATACAAGTTGTTTTTTTATTTTTGTAATATTGGGCTGGTAAACCACACGCAGGAAGATGAATGCTATTAGAATAATATTTTACGTACGGATGTGGGTTCAACGTCCATCGTCCTCCTATTGTCTCAATGTCAAAGGTGAGAAGTTCATCACTGAAAAGTTTGTATTTTCAAGTAATCACCCTACGGAAATACTGGCGCTGGTGAAATTCCAGGGTGCGAAATTGTATGTTTGTAGAGATTTTACATTTTACTGGATTTATTAAATCTTGTAGATGGCATATAATTATGTCAAATAAATCATCATAGGGCAGGCTAATCCTGCAAAAAGTACTAATGTAAATGCCGTTTGATTCAGCCTATTACGACATTTACTGTACGTTTACATTGTACTGGATTTCGTTAACCCAGTGGGTATAAATTGTCAAATTCGTTGCATATATGTCAAATAAATCCTCATAAAGTAGGTAAACCTAAAGAAGATAATTAGACATATGTAAAAATAGCTTAAGGCTGAAATGGGATGTATGTGAAAAGGTATTGACATAAAAAATCTTGAATTTTGATATAATCTTTTTGATTTGAAAATTTTTTCTAAAAATATAACTGAATACCAAAAATTATTGTCAGTTTTTGCAGATAGGAAAAAATTAACAAAGTAAAACACAACAGGGTTATTATAATTAAAATAAAAACACGTAATATCTGAGCTAAGGACAATCATCATTGACTATTCAGTCATAAAATGCAATGTTTATAAACAATTTCTAAATTAACAAACAATGTCTCTCAATGGGTTTTCAAAATAATACATTTTACGTGCATTAGCATTTTTTGTGTGTTTAGCTGATTTCCGTACCCTGCAACAACGACGCTAAAGCCGGTTTACAGCGAGAACTGGTAGAACACAAATATAACAATAATTAAATGCGGTTCAAAGCAAACCATTAGAATAACAGGAATACAACAATAACAATGTATATTAAAAAAACAACAACATTTTCAAGGTCATGATCAACGAAAAGTTGAAGTATGTGAAATTTATTGGCAATAATTTGTTTTGAATTGTAATTATATCTCTTAACAAATTGTATTCTAAACGAGTCATACAATTAAATTACTGCATTGAATGTTGTCCATCTATTTTAGGTTTGCGAATACTGATAATTTCCTTTCTATATAAATATGTATGTGTGAACGCCACATATAAAACGTTGGAATGCGTAGAATAAAGTCCTTCCTTCACGCAGTGAATAGTGAAAATATTATTTGAGCCATATACAGTATGTCAAGAATCAGTTTGCACATTGAATATATAATATTGCTTCAAGTTTAATGTTTATTAAAGTTATTTTTTTGATTTTTTATAATTGCACATATGCATATCACAAAAATATTAAATTTTAACATTATTAAATTAATTGACTTCTTTCACATTATAAAAATGTTAAGTTTATAGTATAATAATCGCGGTATAAACAAAAAACGTATGTGTTTTGAAAACTTCCATCTATGTTATGAACACATGTTAAATTTTGTTCCGATCTGACAACTTCTTCATATTGATACAGGTGTTCAAAAAAGACGCATACACAACTTTTTTACAATGGAAAAATTAGAAATGCTGCACAGAATTATGAAAAATTCCAAATTAATATAAAAGATAATTGGTCTGTTCCAGAACCTGCAAGAATGTACAATTTTTTACTACGATAACAATTTTTCCTTTATGAAATCGGAAAAAATAGTAAAAATTAGTAAATTCTTGCAGTACGGGAACAGACCAAATATTTCGAGCTTCTACAATTGAAAATACATAATAATTATCCATGTGTAAACTGATTCCTGACATACTGTACACACACAATAGGTCTACTTGATTTTGTTATCTTCAATGACCATATTGCAAATATTAATTGCCATTAATTGGCTATGAGAACCAATAATGACAAATGCAACTGAAGTCTTTTCGCTTCCTTTAATAGATTCTTAAATATAAAAGGGATTACTAACAGCCTGTTAGCAAATGACGAATCAAAAAACTTTACGCCTTTGCAATGGTACCTATTATATGACAAGTTCGCAGTATACAGTCGAACATCCATAACTCGAACTATCCTTAGTGGTATTGTCACTGCATGTGGTATTGTCACTACATGTGCTTCAACTTATGAAAGTTTAACTGTATTCCATTTTTTCATATAATTCGTCCATATCTTTAACATTTTCGCATATCCAAATCGAAGTGGTCGACTTTTTGGAATATGCCACATAGATATTCTGAAAATCCTTGTGATATTTTCAATGCAAATTAATTGAAATTTAAAAACTAATCACAGAAACATGGTAGCCGAATAGAGTTGTGTTATGGTGAAGGGTTTACAAATTTTTAAACATTGCAGAATAAGTATTTTAACAATGCAAAATTACAAGAACAAAATGTGTGACATTTACAGAATGTCTCACAGGTAACGATTGTTACCTGTATAAATTTATTAAAAATTCTATATATACGAATGCTATATGAAATGACGTTGCATATATTTTTGTTTATAATAATTTCCTTCATTTGTTACACTGAAAATGACCAGAAGAAGGTAGAGCGTGCATTTAGTTCAACTCCGGCTTTATTGCAAGACACATCAACAACAACATCCAGACAACAAGCAGACCAGCCAGTCAGTCATTTATATTTTTTTATAATTTTCAATTTAGTTTTGAAGGTTGAATGTTTATTAAAATACCTGTAACAGCGCTACTACAAGTTTTCTGTTCGTTTTTTAATTGCAGCAACCAACAACAATTAAACCTGGAGTATGGATCACAGAAATGGAAAAAACGGCTCTGTTGCAGCAGAACATACAGTGGTTGAAATACCCGCAACTGTCGAAGGTAAGTTTTAATAAATGTATGTAATTAGGCGATCATAACACAACAATAATAATAGTAATAATTGGAGTGTATCAATATTTTTAATATTATACGGGGTTTTAGTCAACAATAAAACACACCCTTATTTATTTATATATGTATACGTATATTATTTAAGGTAGCTATTACAATAAGTAGTGTAAGGTTTTCTAAATTGAAATATAAAAACAATATTGAAATGAATAATGTGTATATATATATATATATATAACTTTTTTAAATTGACCTAAAAGATTTCAATAGGGTTCGTCCTTGGGCCAAATAAGTGAACTGTGTTTATAAATGTTAATATATTTTTATATGACATAAAAAAGTTCAATATAAATTCAATTTATGTGATCATTTTATTTATTAAACCTCGTTTCGTATTTCGTGTATTTCCAGTTAATGTCGTATCATCCAGGAATAATAATGCATTCCAGAACGAACGTAGAGAAAATGTGGAAATTATTAATTTGGGTAAGAATTTTTTTATTTTATTTATTAAATAATTACGGAATTTTTAAAAGGTCTGCATATTTAAAAATCTCTTACATATAAGAGATTTTTTGAGGGACTGTGTGACAATATAGTTAATTTTCCGAGTTTCCGACTCAATATTGTATATAAATTCAGTTTTTAAAGGAAAAATATATATATTTTTAATCCGTCACTATGGTTTCATAGTCAGTTTGTGCCTTAACTGTGAATTGCATTGTCTAAAACAGCAAGGGTTCATAAGTCGCTGAGAAGTATTTGAACTTATACAATGTATGAATTTATTATTAATTCAACAATAAGCATAATACCCAACTAAAATGGATGACCAGCAGTATATATTTAAAAATATATTGTTCTTATTATTCTTATCCTTAAATATTATTCTTGTGGTTTTTCTTTTTCAGAAATTATGCAAATATATCTATAACGATTTGTATAATTTTCGTCACTACATGACATATTTTTCCGAAAAATTTGCTTATGTTTTATAACCTAACTTTTGCAAATATTCTTCTAATAACCCAAACAAAATAATGTTGTTATATTTGCCATTTTTTTTTTAAACCGGCTTATCATAACCAGTTCTTAAGGTTAACATTTATTTTTATTATATTTTAATGTATTGATTTCAGTGCATTTCTACGTTTTTATTTTTTAAATAATAAAATCCAAAAAATTCCATATTTGCAATAAACTGGATTTATTTTTTGTCAAAATATGGTTACTTTCTATGCAATAACCTTTGGTATTTATTTGTGGTTTGCTTCGTTTAATTAAATACTAATAAAATTTAAATATCCCGAATTTATTTCTTGTTTAATTTCACTTTAAATGTGAATGTCGTTTTTGTTTTTGTTGTTTGTCATATTAATTTGCTGGTGGTGCTATACCTGGGTGTCCAGTAGAATTTCGACTTTGTCAAAAATAAATATATCAAACAAAAAAGATTGAACTCTGCCTCCCATGGGTTTTTATGTGTGGTGAGCGCCTGATTTGTTGTTTCAGATAACCCGGGTATTTTTAAACTGGGGCGAAATGAATAAAAACAATAAAGATACAAACGAATGTACTTAAAATTATGTACAAGTTCAGTACTCATATGAATGTGTAATAGGGATGTCAAACGAGACTTTAAATTAAACCCTCTATCTGCTTTTCAATATATTTTAATAATAAAAAACATTAATAAGTTATAAAGGAACCGTGATATTCTAATTTTTTAATACATACATGCTTTGAAAGTTCCAAAAAAGTAAAAAAAATATTACGTGTTCTCTTTTGTCCATCAAAAATTGAGAAAATTCTTAAGAAATATTGTAGTACATATTAGTAAATATAAAAAATATTTTCAAAAAAATGCAAATATTAATTTTAATTCATTAAAAATTATTAAACAACTTACCCCACAATTTGGTTTCATTTCCATTTCCGTCATTTCACAAACGACATCTCTATTGCATAGCCAGCCGGCTGTCGTTTCGAATTTGTAGAAGATAACAATACACTCACATTTTTTGTGTACTGCGATTACTTGCTTCCAGCCAACATTTTTCGCTGAATAGAACAGAGTTTCGGTGAAATACAATTTAAAACATTAGCATTTAGTTCAAGTTGAAACGTTCTAGAGAGCAAGCAGGTTAGTTGTCGAGTGCTCCGAAAATTCGCCAATTTCATCCGTAAATGTGCACAGACAGCAACAAGAATACTTGAAAATTGTAGCAAATAGAAAATGAAATACTAATTAGTGAAAGTATTTATAAAAAAAGTTAAACAAATATTATTTTTTATTGTGACCGGTAAATTGATAAAACAAAGGATTTGAAACTGAAATTTGTTAATTAATATTATATTATTTAATACAGTATGACGTCATTTTGTGTGAAATTGGAGTGTGTACAAATATTGTTCTGAATATGTTAGATTTTTTTGTGGAAATGCTTGTGAATTGTAGTTAAGATGGCAAATTTCAGTTTTCATAAAACTGATTGAATGACTGAGTTGACAATCTCGAAAACCAACAAACTAAAGCTAATTCGGTTGAGAAATTATGCTAATACCGAAAGTATGGGTCTTATGTTTCTCAACGATGAATTTTCAAACTATAGTCAAATCCGTTGGAAAATGTAGCTAGGAACCCACGAACAGTAATTTTATATCCGTCTTAGGCCGAAAATATTTTCTATAATGAACATTATTACAAGGAAAATTGTAAATGTCATTCTCAATTCAAAAATATTGTTAAAAATCAAAAATGTAACACTATAAAATCGATTTTACGATGATCGAATCGATGGCTGGGATTCTTTAATTGTGAATATATTTGTTCCATTCTAGACAAATAACTGACGTTCTGTGGTCTTAAATCTATATTTAATATACAACATGTCCCATTACTATGTTTATAATTTTATATTCACACGGATATTTATTTAAACCTTTTATTATTTTAACATCCCTTTAGTGACAGTCGTTGCCCGCGTAATACTAGATTTTTGCTTTTTTTTCAAATTATTTCTTTTTATTGTACAAACCGATATTTTTCTCATCATTACTCTCATCCAGCTTAGTAAGCCATATATTTTCCAGCAATGGGTTACAGAGTTCTATTGTTACTCAAACATTGAACCCATTATCAAAGTTCATAAAAAACGAGATTATAAAATACAAATCATTTAGCGATAACAATGCTCGTGTATTAGGGTAGATATCGTATGTACATGGAAAAATTTATATTTTTACCTTATACTGAAATTAGTAGCAGACGTGTTAACTTTGGTTCTCAATCTGTAAAACCTAATATTGATATGTACCCTATTGTGATAAGATTAGCATTTTTCTATTTGTTAAATTATTAAAATAAATTACTCAGTAGTATTGAGCTGGTAAATAAAAATTTTGGAAATATTCAAAATAACTATGATTTTGAGATTAGTTTTTCATAATCACCTCATTAAAAAATGTATGTTTCCATGCCAGTTTTTTTATATCCACTAAAACTCTTTTCTAATTTTATAGCTCCATTATTTATATTTTCCAATAAATTCATTAATACCCAACGCCATCTGTGCATATGAAACTGAATTACATTTTTTAAAACACAATAGCCGTTATGTTGATTTTTTTACCACCGAAACATACCGGCTGCTAGAAGTCGTGAACACCCCACATATTGCATACAACTGTGAAACGATTTTGACATTTCAATTTTGCTCACTGCTTTTGTTTACTCTCTTCTCGGGCGAAACAGCTGATTGGATTGTGTTAGAGCTCATCTGGTTATAACATCATCATCTTCATATTAATAATAAAAAACAACTCAATATTGTTTTTTATTTTTTATATCTTACCATAGTTGTCTAGTCATTCGCTTTTTAATCGCCCGCTCGTAAAGTTCGTATAGAGCGGAAACGTTATTCGCTCGCTGCAAAAGTACCTACACACGAACGTAGTTAATTTCCCCCCCTATATAAATTTTGTTTGGAGCTTTAGTTTGTTGATTTCAATCTGTGGTCGTCGTCTCATTCATTAATGGTAATTTAACAAAGCAGTGTTCCGTGTTTATTTCTGCCTCAAAGCGAGTAGAGTAGCGTCAAGTGGAGTGGAGTAGTGAGTGTTGTGTGTATCATTGAAAAATAAAAGTGAAGATTAACAACGACCGACCAGTAACTTCTGGTGGACCATCAACATCATCATTATCGGCAACGAACGACACAACTTGTTTTAGGCTGTGGATATTTTCAAAAAAAAAATTTCGTTCATTATTTTATTAGTGTCTAGTGTTTTCTTGGATTGGAATTTATGCGATTTAAATTGTTGTAAAAAATTATTCACTGATTGATTCATGCAAAAGAAAAGAACAAAAACAAGAACAAAATTCATGTACTGATTTCAAAACGATTCGGATTGGGTTGAGCTGTGCGCGTTTACGGTGTGAACAATAATCAATAAATTGACTTTATGGGAATTGAATATTTTTGTAGATGACCTTAAACATTAAAACAATAATAAGAACGGATACAAATACCACAACAACAAATAAAACAAGCTGCCTGCCAATAACCTCTAACTTTTTGTATTTGTGAACTATTTCAGATACTCAACCAGCGGACAATATGACAAATTACGACGATGTAAGTAACAAGAAAATTTATATTAAATTATTTTTGTCAGTAGCACATCATCTAATCTACAATTTTCATCTGGAATATTCATCCAAATATACTGACATTGTTTACACAATAGTACAGACACGGAAGACCGACCACTTAGTGTAATGTTTTCCTTTTCAACATTTCATAACTAAATTTCCAATGTTTTGTTTTTTCCTTTCGTTTTTCTTTTTCGGTCTTATTCCCGTTGAAAACAACAAACCATATAAACCACAAAAACAACAACAACAAAAATGGAATTACCACAATACCCATATACCAGATATTGCAAAGATGCCGTACAGCTTTTGCCAATGGAAAAACACGAGATCTTAGCTTCAGGTAAGTGAACTATAAACCAGACTTTTACAACCGGTACACCGGCAGACAAAACTTTAACGACGATACAACAAACCCACTTATGCCAGACTCTTGAATCAATTTTGGAAGTATCATCTGTACGATAGTATGTGCTTGTGTATGTAGTTAGTATTCCAAGTGGCTGCAATATACAGATTTGTTTGTTTGCGGTCGGATTTTGTGTTTTTTTCAACAATGCATGCCATAAGAGAGCACTGGTCAAGCGCGACGAAATACATACAGTTATACCGAAATATTGTATAATGTCGATATTTAAAAAATTCTGTCACGTTATAATTTTTTTCCTCAAAAAGTCGTGTTGTTCATTGCAAACAATTGAGAGGCGGGCGCATCTATCTGAAATAGTAAAAAAAATATACTGAGTACATGACATAGAAGTAATGAGATGATCTTACCTTTTTCTTGTAACACTCCAGTAATATATCAAATCCAAAAAATGAATCAGATGATAACATTTCTAAAAGGCGAAAAAGGGGGTTTGACAAAAAGAGCATTCTCACTCTCGTACATATAGAAGGTTGTTTACATGATGGATCCTCTGTTACACATAATTTGACAAGGAATTCCCATTCCACAGAGAATTTCTTTGTATGGAAGTATTATAGATTTTTTAGGAGCCTCTTGACGTACACTTTTAAAACATTTTAAAACAATATTCAGTAGAATTAACACCGTGGATTTTAATGAATTTTTAAGAATATTCAGACATTTAATAGACAGCGACCTATTGTTTTTTTATTTTTTAAAAATAGTTAATCGATAGACTAGGATGTAAGGCATTTGACAATTTTTTAAATATTGATGGGACTGATTATGGAGAAGAAGGCTAGAGTGGACATCTCCTGATCATAAGGGGCAACAGAAAACTCTACCATTATTGCATTTGGATGTTAGATATTTCATCTTGAAATTTACTGTGAAGACTCCTACAGGAATAGGCATTCACTGGTCAAGCTAGGCTATTAATCGATAGTTGAGACATCGATAAATATTTAAGTATGCTCATCAAATGATTCGACAGTCTCAGTGCAAACAATACTTCATTCTAAAAGAACATATAGTACATCACATTTAAAACTAGCCAAATTTAAACAACCTTTCGAACCCTATTTGGCAGATTAACCTGTTCCGTTTATTTTGTAATAATGTACGTGCTTAAATGTTTACAAATTGTGAATAATTAACTTTTTATATACAAACAAGTTTTCCAAATGAAAGAAATTTAAATAATTCATTGTAAAATCTGATCTTGAAATACAAGAAGAAATTCTTTCAAAATCCACTTGGGTGAGAAATTAGTTCTATTAGATTTTGTAATATATATAGAGATTTACCCGTAAACACATAATGTATACGCACACACATACACCCGGCTGGCTGGCTGTATCGCATAAAAGGTATTTAATTAATACAAGGTGAACAGAACACAATCGGAATAGCAAATAAACGATGAAGAAATTATCAAATTAAAGCGGCATTTGTATTTATTTGAACACGAGTTTTATTTATTTTTTGTTTTGTTTTCGAAAAAAAACTTAAAATTGTAGTGACCTTTATGGTATTATTTCGCATATGCCCACCAAACTCTATCAATTGATGTTTTATTCACAACGGTAGCCGCCGAATATCTGAGCAAGACAAATACAACTACAACAATTATTTTATTTATTAAATTCTGCTATTTGTTAAAAGAAATAAATCTAATGACTGATAATTTGTAATATTTTAAAGAGTTATTTTGAGAAAATTAAATTTCCATCAGGGATTCTTTATTATTGTGGACTCTTGTTTTATTTGTCTTTTAATTGTGATCAGCTTTCTTGCAACATAGCTCAACTTCGTAAATTTCTTCTTTGTGTTACAAAAAATCATGAGTGTTTTTTCACACAAAATTCTTGCCCAATGTTATAACTAGCATATAACCTAATCATACTGGTCCCATTAAACCTCCATTAAGCTCGCACAATTTTATGACGGAACATTGTTTCGTAATAGAAAAAAAAACAAAAACCGCCATCAACAAACTTGTTTAACTACAACTGCACAATGCAAGTACACTCACTTTCAGTTATGGGGTGAGATAGTGAGTGCAATTATGGCATCTACGTGATTAACAATTATATTACAGTATTTAAATAAAACACAATCGACACTAACCTACCTAACCAACCAAACCGGCAATTAATCAGCTAAGCTAAGCTGACTGACCCTTACAACATGATGTTGCAAATATTGTTTTTTATTGTTATTGTTATAGAGCAGTAGGGTAATGGATATCATTGCTGACCAAGGTTTTCGTTTTATAAGTTTTATATTTTTTTAATGAATACGAATTAATTAGACATTTTCATTAGAATATACATTATAATATATTGGCATAAAGGTTAAGGGAGAGGTATGCAGAATTGGAGAACGAGTCATTGTTTGTCCTCTTATATTCAAGATTGACAGAAATATAGCAAAATAATAGTAAAATTTCCGCAAATTGGACAATTTTTATACCAAGTTTGGCTCTTGGATGGCTTTGTTTTTAGCTTTACCTAAGCGGGATACATAATTCCTCAAACTACATCAAATTGGTTGGTACAAGTAGTCTATATCCATAGGGGATCCCCTGTTTCAAGTAATCGTGAAAGCACAGATGAAGTGGGATACGAATTTATTAATTCCTTTCTATACCAAACCTGCTGAGAATCTTGTCACAGAGGATGTGGGGTTTTTAGCTTACGTGGTATTTATGTATACTATATTCGGCTATATTCCGATTCCGATCGCAAAGGTTTCAATTTCGTAATTCCATTTCGATTGTTTTACCTTCGATCGATTCAATGAATTCCGAGAACAGAAATATGGCTACATTTCTATAATCAAAACAACAACAATATAATTGACAACAGCACGAAAGCGAATCGCATCCCGTTTTTATTAAAAATATAAACTGATTTGTATAAAGTTCTTCTATTTTTTTATTTTGCTTTGCTTTAGTACATCATTCGTAATGCCAGATTGTACAATTCTTTAAAATTATTAATTTTGGTTTTGAAGAAAAAAGTGTGTGCTAATTCTAATTAAAAAGTGTTTTTTTATAGATAAATAACATTTTAAAGTAAAATAAAGTAAAAAGAACAAAAATATTAATTTAAATTTATAAATAAAAATAACAATTTCTTTATTTTAAAGTGATTTCAAAGTGTTTTAAGTGAAATGTTCTGAAAAAATACAAAACCACTTACAGAATCAAAGATGGATTCATAACGTAAAAAATTTCGTTTTTGTTTTCTGAAGAAGCTAAATGCGGATTTAATCCCCCTTTCAATCGAAATGGATTTATAAAATGGTTAAAAAAGTCTCTTCTTCAAATATCCCTTGGACAAGAACATAAATTAAAAAATGATGTATTACAGCAAAGGAAGACACCAACATCTATATTTTATTTTGAGAATCTTTCAAATATAATAATCAAAATATTATTGGCGATTTTATCAATAAACTGTCTTCCGCAATAGATACCTATATCCAAATGGATATATTCTACTGAAGAATATAAAAATAATCACTCTAGAAATACATTTTGATTTAAAAAAAACATAACCAACAATTAATTTCACATAAATGCAATTAAAAACATAATAAATCTATTCAAATAAATGAAAAAAAAAAAACATACTATATATGAAATATGATTTTCAAATATATTCAAAATGGTCATTATTACTCTATAATTAAAGTTGTTTTTATGTTTTTTGCACTAATGTCTGTTTACAAATAACAAATTGTTCCGCTATACAAAACAAACATGCCGAAGAGAATGCATTTTGATTTGGCTTCGACGGCATCCACCACCATGCACATAATTAATCATTTCGTCATTTAGTATTAATTTCAGAATATTTCGAATACGATATACAAAATATGTATGCATGTGGCAGATTGCTGGTAAACCAAAGAAGATCATTAATAACAAAGAATAAATTTCGCTGTTATATTATTATTTTGGTTTTTTTTTTGTTTTCTTGTGTTGTGTTAGATTAAATGATATTTATGAATGTTTTTTTTTTAAGAGACATTTATGCTCGTTTTCAAATATTTTCCTCTTCTTTTGGTTTCTTTGCCAAGCCAAACTCTTTGCTAATGTGTTGGTGGTCAACGTCCGTCGTATGTTCTAAAACGGAAGTAATGCGTCCAATCAAGGTTTGATGGTAAATTTCAAGACAAAATTATTGCAACCACCAAGAAAAAAAAAGAATCAAAATTTAGAAATTTGAATAATGTTACTCGGTTGTTTGGCCAAATGCATTCTAGCAAAGTATATGGGTATTTTTTGTATTCGCTTTTGCTAACAAAAGAATTTAATTTCAGCCATTATATCACTTCCCCTTTTAATAAATGCAAATGAAATTCCATTTTTTTAATTTTAAAATTCTTTAAGTTCTTTGCATGAAAGAGAGCCTTTCGCTCGCTCTCTCTCACTCTCTATAAACATGATTGGCAAATTGAATCCAAACAAACTTCCAAATCAATTCGTGTTTGCATGCAAAAAGTATTTATCTGTAGATACATTTGTAATATTCACTCACATGTTAATTGATTAAGCATTTTGGTACGCGTCGCGTTTGTAGCTGGATCGTCCGTGTAGATTTGACCTTGCTCTTGCCCATGTGGACAGACAGACAGACGGACCGTCAAATGGATGTATGATGGCACGCAGATAACATGGCATAGCCGTTAGCATACTAGCCTATCATCATCAGCAGCATAAGTAACGCCACAGCCAACAGTATCGTCGTCATCATTGGTCCGTCGGTCTGTCATTAGATATACCGTTCGTTTTGTTTTATTTTCCTTTTCGTATCCGAAATTTTATTTTAATTTAGTTGTTGATTTTCTGTTGTCATGTCTTTATTTCCATGTTTTGCTTTGTTTTTTTGCATGCCGAAAAACAATAACAAATATAAAACTAACAAAGCCAGACATCAACGCGAAGTCGTATAATCATCTTCTTCTTCATCATCATCCATTAATTTATGTTTGCACCTATTACCAACAAACCTCCCCCTGCAGAGACATTTAGCCACCACTTTTGTTTGAAATATCTGACGAATTCGGAAGTAATTTGCCAATTCCACGTTTAAAGTGCAGATTATTGGAATTAATTTATGCATTTTCTCACGTTTGTTTTGCAAAAAAAAAAAAACACAAAATATTTGAAAACAAAAAAACCATATTTGATGAATCATTTATAAACTATCAGTAAGGAAAGGACCATGATACGGTCTATGGCATGATGGTGCTTGTAGGATTCATAATATTAAAATGTATTTTACATTATTATAAACAAGTTTTTTTTTAAGAAAACCACTAACACTACATCTAAGATTAATCCTCAAAACTAAAATATCAACATATGAGAGTCATACCTAAATACAAAATAATCGAAATTGATAAACGATTCAATATACTGTGAAAAAATTGCATGTACATTAAATCAATTTAGTTAGTCCCTTTGCCGATGGGATTTCTTTGTAATCGGACAGACGAAGAGTCTTCGATTCATCATGTACATAAACCCGACGAAAATGTACATTGGGGCCACAAAGTACCCAATTTCTTTTGATTTGAGACTTGTTTTAAGTGGTCGATATATATACGGACTGACATGACTAAATCGATCGAAAGTGAAAAAACAATAAAAAAGTATTTTTATTTGAGTAAAATCCCAATATTTTAATGCATTACCTCTTCAAATTCATTTTTTCAATTTGTTTTATAGAAAGAAGCAATTGGAAAATCTGTTGCGCATGTACGAAGAACATGAAAATGACATGATCAATGCCTTGGATGCTGATTTGAGACGTCCCAAACAGGAAAGTTTAGTTGTGGAAACGGAATTTTTGAAAAATGACATCAAAAACATTCTGTACAACATTGATGACTGGGTTAAGCCTGAATTGCCACCCAAGTCAATGGTAAATCTTATGGACGACGTACAAATCTATAAGGATCCCTATGGTGTCGTTTTGGTTATTGGTGCCTGGAATTATCCTCTGCAATTGTTGTTAGTGCCTGTCGCCTCTGCCATCGCTGCCGGTAATTGTGTTGTGATCAAGCCCAGCGAAGTCGCTGTCCATTGTGCTAAATTCATTGAAGAAACTCTGCCCAAGTATTTGGATAATGTATGTTGTTTACTAATTTCCACAATTTTTTGGTATGTTTTCTGAAATAGCTTTCTTCTTTGTAGGAATGCTATCCCATTATCTGCGGTGGTGCCCAAGAAACAACTGAACTATTAAAGCAAAGATTTGATTACATTTTCTATACCGGATCCACACGAGTGGGGCAAATCATTCATGCTGCCGCCAACAAATATTTGACACCCTGCACATTGGAATTGGGTGGCAAGAGTCCCTGCTACATTGACAAATCGGTTGAATTGAAGACCGCTGTTAAACGTATTCTCTGGGGCAAATTGATTAACTGTGGCCAAACATGCATTGCCCCCGATTATGTGCTATGTTCCAAAGAAATTGAAGTCGAATTCATTAAGGAAGCTAAAGAAATCCTTAAGGAATGGTATGGCGATAACATTAAGGACAGTCCTGATCTCAGTCGTATTATAAACAAAGCGAATTTCGAGTAAGTTTTATTTTTAAATCAAAACCAATGACAATAAAAAGCGAAAGTAAACGTGTAATTCCTTTGATTCCAGCCGCTTGCTTGGTCTAATGAAACATGGAAAAATTGCCGTTGGCGGTAGTTACAATGCCAAAGAACTATTCATTGAACCCACAATCATTGTAGATGTTAAACCAGAAGATCCTGTGATGCAATCCGAAATTTTCGGTCCCATCTTGCCCATTGTCAATGTTGAAAGTGCCTACGATGCAATCAAATTCATTAATTCCAGGTAGGTCAGAGGTTCTGCAATCATTCAATGGGGTAAAAATCATTCATGAAACACATCTTCATGTGTCGAAACAATAATTTATTGTCATTTTCAGTTATTTGGTGAAATATTAGAAGGTGAAGTTTTTATAGAGTATTCAAAACTTAGTTTAACAATTGAGGAATAAAAATTTTATTATAATTCCAGAAACACTATTTAAAAATTTTCACAAGTCTGGAAAAAAATCCAAAGATTAGATTAATTTTCAATTATGAATAAAATATAGTAACAAATCCAACTAGATTAGGTCTACTAAAACTTCATGGGACCTATATAACAAAAAACTTGATTTAAGAAAAAACAAAGAAGTCTCATTATCCCTATCCACCAGAGCATATGGCAACGAATTTATTTTTTTGCATGAAAATTTTTCGTCAGTTTATATATTCCATATTTGAGATTTAAAAGATAGTCGCGAATTTTGCAATTTTATTATTTTTTTATAAATTTCTAAACGAGAAAATATTAACAAATATTGAAGGAAAATAAAATAGAAAATATCTACATGTTTGTTTATATAAAAAATAATTTTATATAATTTTGAATACTATTTAGTATTGGTTGACAATATTTTTTAGATCACGTCATTTCATCAAATCGAAAAAAAAATTTCATTTTACAGATTCTTAAATACAACCATCAATTTGGCGTCTATTTGTCTGTTACTAAATGTGGAAAGTCAGAAATCATTACAAAAAGATCTTTCATTTAAATGTCTACGTTGTACTTGTTGTGTTTGTCTAAATATTAGATGGCTTTTGCACTTTAGTTGAGAGTGATACGATGGCGATGACAAAGAAAAAAGTAAACATACCGGACAATATTCACAAAATGATTTTAGCAACATAATTCCCTAAATTTTATAAATTTTTCGTAAAATGTTTAGATAATTTTTGAAAAAAAAATCATATATTGTTAAAGATTTACAGTTCAGGATTTCTTTTTTATATAGCACCTTTTCCACAATAACTAGGGGGTTGTTGTTTATTACTATGTATAGAAAAATAGTAGGAAAACAAAATTTGACCTTGAATTTAAATAATTATTCTTAAAAATATTCATTTTTATTTAAGGATAAACTAAATAAAACTAACTATATTTCAGTAGCAACATATGCGTGCCAACATTTTGAAGACGAGCCATATTAATAATTCTCATTCGACAATCATCGTTAACATTGTTGAATGCAATATCGTATTCATGATGATATCCTTTTGTTTTCAGTAGGTTTTATAAAATCATTTAAACACATACTCATATTGTTTTGTCTTTTTGTTTGTCTCATTTGTAAAACATGTCTGACTGTCTCCAAAAAACAAAATAAAAAACACTTTTTCTTCATCGTGGTTTTGTGTCATGTCCACCCTACACAATATAACACAACAAAAAAAAAATAATTAGAGAAAGTCCCCTGGCGATGTATGTCTTCACAACGGAACCAGAAATACAAAATTTATTCATACACAGTACACGAGCTGGAGGCATGTTACTTAACGACACAATCATGCATTATGCCGGTAAGAAAACACCTATAGAACAACGGACCGAAACTAGATATGACTGAAGCAATTAGCTGTATGCACTTAGCAAGATCCTGTAGATTAGTGAATTGGTGTTTGGTATATTTTATAGATTATTTATGACATATTATGGTGAAGGTTTTTTTGTTTATGTTCTTGTATGTTTGATTATATATTGCTAATGGTAAAATGGTCTCTGTTTCACTTCCTGTACATATATATTTATCCGTATATACACATTTCACTTTTAATTTAAGTTTTTTTCTGTTGAAATATGCATTTGAAGACTGGCATTATTTTATGTTTTATATAAATTTTAACTTCCAACCAGGGAAAAGCCCTTAGCGCTGTATGTGTTCTCCAAGTCGAAAACAGTTATTGAGCTGTTTAAAACTAAAACAACTAGTGGTGGATTTTGCAGTAACGAAGTTATTATGCACGTCGGAGGTATATGAAACGATATTTAGCTTTAAGAATGTGTATGGTTTTACTAAATCGTAAATAGACAACAAAAAAATAGTAGTACCTATTTCTAACAACAATTACAATTAGCTGTTAACATTTCTGTAGAAAATAACACTTTCATTCGACTCATCTAATAATGTTAATATTACCATAAGGGGGGTTGAACATATAACCTAATTTTTTTAAAGAAACAATCTTAATTTCAATATTTATTTGCAAAACTAACACTCTTTACTGTACATATATACTATATACATACTTATAGAGAAAAATCTTTGGCTTTATACGTTATAAGTAACTCAAAGAAAACTATTGAATTGTTTAAAACACAGACCACCAGTGGTGGTTTTTGCAGTAATGACATTATAAGCCATTTTTCAGGTATGCAATTTTTTAAACAATTAATTTTTAGTAGTGTTTGAAGGCTAATGTATACAGTGCAGTATACTTTGTATTATGCGATTGTGTGTAAAAGTTTACTATATTTCATATTAATAACTCCTATTGTATTTCATTTTTGAAATATTATAATAATATTTATTATTGTATTACCTTATTTAATGAACATAATATCTTGTTTCCATCTTGTAATCACGGAAATATTGAAGTTAGTTCTGCAAAAATTCAAAACTTGTTGTTAATAGTCAAGGTATATATTTGATAACCCATTTTATTTTTTTTTTAATTTCGCGATTTAAAGTAATGAAAACTTGAAAATTTATCATTTTCAATCCTTATAAGTTTAATAGGTGACATTAGTTATTCAACGACGTAAATATATGTTTCAAAAATCCTTATCAAATGTAGCAGGTAACAAGACGACAATCGCATAATTCAAAGTATCACAAATATTTTTTGCAAATACTCTTTTTTTAATAGAATGCATCCAAGCCTTTTAAAACTATAGCTAACCTTGCTTTTATTATTATATACATTTTTATTTCATAATTTTAATTAATATAATAATTTTCAAAATCTTAATGTAAATCTATTAAATATATTTAATAATCAACGAACGCAGGATTTTGTTATCATTGAGATATCATGATGTAATTTGTTATGATATCTTAATGTGGAAAATTTGTCCTTAAAGCACAATGTGAAGTTTTAGACTCCAATTGGCCTTAAATATTAAAATTAATTTTTAAAATGAACGGAGATTAAATTCAATTTTTGTATTTTTATTTTTGCCCACAGATTATTTTGGAAAACAAGCAAATATACATTAATGAGTTTTTAATATATTTGAAAATTACATATTGTAACTTTAAAAGCTAAGTCCGTTTATTTTAAAAATTCTCAGGCTTTTTATTTAAGCGAAACAGAGCTAAATTAATTTAAATCACATTTGTCTATCAGCGGTTATAAGTAACAATAATAACATATTAGATTTTTTTTAACAAATCATTAACGTTTTATTATAGATGCTCAGAAAACAGATGTGTTAACTTAATTTAGCTCTGCTTATTATAATTTTCAACACAAATATTAATATTTAAAGAACTAATAAATTATATTTATTTCTTTAGTTGATACATTACCATTTGGCGGCGTTGGTTTCAGTGGTATGGGCAGTTATCATGGCAAATACACTTTTGATACTTTTGTTCACAAAAAGTCTTGCCTCGGCAAAGACTTGAAGCCTTTGGGAGAAAAATTGGCATCGTAAGTATTCAATAACGTGGTATTTGTGCCCAAAATGTTAATAACAATAATTCCTATTATTATTCCAGTGGACGCTATCCTCCTTATTCGGAACGCAAGGCCAGCATATTGAATTTCTTGTTGCGAAAACGACGTCCCTTGCCCAATTTGTATCTGTCACACATTTTGGTATTTGGTCTTGGCGTTGGCTTGACATTCCTCGTTAATCACTATATGCAGGTAAATAGACTGCGTCTCCTCAATCAATCATACAATTTTCATGAAAAAATCATTCACTTTGGAAAACATTAAAGGGCAAACTGTTGTCGCGCTAAGAAATGCATCAAAAATATCAGCACCTTAACTAAACAGCGCATCACTACTACTACTACTACTACACCTTACCACAATCACTCTCTACTATGAACTTCAACAGTTTATCAGTGTGTAGCAAGCGGTATTTTCGAACCAAAACTATCATCAAGACCATACAAAATTAATATGCCTGGGGGCAAGTAACTACTATCTTTTATTCTGGTAAAAAGATGGCTCATGGCATGTTGGGCTACCAAACACTATATGCACATACATACATATGTGTTAAAAAAAACCCGAGAAAATACATTTATTAAAAAAATACATATATATCCATATACTTTCTTCATACCACTTACTTCTGTGACATCTTAGTCTTGTTTGTAAACGTCAAATGCTTAATTTTTATTGTCGCAGTAGTTGAACATTGATTGTAACAATATTAAATTTGATTTTATTTTTTACATTTCATTCTTATTTCTTACAGCAAAGTGATAAAAATTAATTGATACATTTCGCGTTTTGTTGCAAAAAAATTAAAGGTTAATGGAACTGGTTACGAATGAAACAAAGAACTATTAACTGAAATTGTAAATTATTATTTTTCTTATTATTATTATTAATATGATTTGTTATATTATTATTACTGTGGTTTCGTTTTTAATATTGTGTATTTTTTGTATTTAGAAAATAGTATTTTTTTGCACTAAATAAACATGTTGATGAAAGAAAAAATATAAACATATAATAAAATTAGTTTTGAGTTTTTTTTTACAAAAAATTTCTGGATCTAAGGGGAATGGGAATGATGAGAATTAATATCTGGAATTGACAACAACACCTTAACTCTACGAGTTAAAAATACAATTGTAAATTGTATGCCTTTTAACGATAGAGCATGACATAATTATACAAGGTAGTCTCATGCAGACACATGAGTCCAATCATGGCCCTAATATAGGCCTTGATTCCAATTTATTCATAATTTTACTACAGACAACATTCAGCTTTCAAATTTAAATGAAAATATTCTTGTTCGAAATCTACGACCAACTTGTGTTCAGTGCCAAAATTACCAAATTATTAGCATTATTGCCTGCCTCCAAAATTTATATTGGTTCTAATCTATATATCGATTACAAGTCCTTATTATAATGTATTTATGTCTGCACATAGCATGCATATTTATATGCAATTATATAATGATTTCTGCATCATAAAATAAACAAAATCTTTAGAAAATATACACTCTTAATTTGTTTAAAAATATGCCAATTTGAAATTGAAAGATGGGTTACAAATTAAAAAGGGTTGCCATTACCAATTTCTCAAATTAGACTACCACACTGGGTACCTTATATAAGTATTCTCCCTTATAGCGGCTGTTGTAATCTAAAGCGATTTTACAAAAAAACTGTATTTTCAATCTATTACAAATATCGGTATTTTGAGGACTATGACAACCGTGATATTTTGTTGCATTGTTCTGTAGTTGTCAGTAAGAAAATAATGTCATTCGATATAACGATATTTTAGATTTAACGATGAGGTCTGACAATATATAAATCGTTATATCAGATATTATATAGATGTGGGATGTGTAATTTTTGAGCAATTTGGAAATTGAGTTTATGTGCTAAGAAGTTAAGAGAATAAAAGATGGTACAAACATACTTGTACTCCGCAATTCTGTTTTGTTTCGTTATTCGTTGTGAAAAACTGAAGTTGGCTGCAGAAAAGTTTTGCATTTTCTTCTATTTTATGTTTTCTGTCGACAAATAAACACCAAGGCAATTAATTAAATTAAAACCGTTTGCGAGGATAAAAACATATATGTCTTCATTGCAATCCACGGCTATAGCTTCTTCGAGTAATTCATTCCTTTTATAATTAAGTTTTTTTCTTTTAATTCCATTTTTAATTTTCAAAGGAGAAAATAAGTGTGTGGAAGAATTAGAAAATTTATAAATTTGTTGCAAGGGTTATTTTCGTGTCTAAACAACAATGAAATTTGTAAAGAAATTGAGATGGAAATTTGTCATGAAATTTTGCTCGTGCGACTACTGACAAAAGTCGACTTTGTTATTTCCTCAAATATCAAAAGTCGATTTCGACTTTTAGACTTTTCAATACAAAAAGTCGATTAATCGATTAATCGAAAGTAGATTTACTTATCCCTAGTGCAAAAGAAGAAGAAGAAGTCTAATATATTAGAATCATTGCAAAATTGCAAATTTAAAAACGGTCCCAAAGTAATTTTGGAATATATACTCTCTGTATCGGAAATAATACAATGGCTGACCACGACGAGTTAATTGCACAATTCATCGAAATTAGCGGCGGAGATGAAAATGTAGCCAGATTCTATCTATCCAGCAGTAATTGGTCTTTGGAGGTTCGTGGTTGATATTCTGTTTGTCATTCTTTTGTTTCACAGACGTCGTTTTTTCTGTTCTTCCATGCTATACAAAACAGGATGCATTGTCTCACTTTTTGGGCAATCAAGGTGATGGGGATGGCGATAATAATTCAGACAGTGCCAGTGGCCAAGCTGATGAAGCTCCAGCCACGGGTACGTCGGACGCCAAGTCTGGCTCCTCATCAGGCGGTGGTTCGTTTGGAAGGCAAAGTGCCAAACCAAGGTACTTAATTTTTTGTGATTCCCATGAAAGCCAACATTTCTTCATGTTAGCATTGTTTTCCAAAGATTTGCTACTTTAGGCGATATGTCGAAACGTTCTGGAGGCAATCAAGACGATGAAGAAGGTCAGGCATTTTATGCCGGTGGTTCAGACCGATCAGGCCAACAAGTGCTCGGTCCCCCAAAACGTAAAAATTTCAGAGAACAATTAACCGACATGTTCCGAATGGCCCAAGAGAGTAGTGCCAATGTGGAAAATTCGCCGGCACCAAGCACTTCGTCTGGTGCCAGTTGGGGTCAAGGCATACGATTGGGCATGACGGACAACGATCATTCAGTTGTGACACCAGCTAACAAAGATGGTGAACAAAAAACTAAGCCTGTTGTTGTGCTAAAATTGTGGAGTCAGGGCTTTTCCATTGACGATGGAGAGCTACGTTTGTATGATGATCCCCAAAACAAGGAATTCCTAGAAACCGTCATGAGAGGGTTGGTATCCACACGATTACATATTATGCGCAAATTGATCATTTTATTAATATTTCAGCGAAATACCAAATGAACTCTTGGAAATGGGTTGGATGGTAAACGTCGATGTTGAAGATCATAGGCATGAAGATTACAAAAAGAAGCCTACCACAGTTAAAACATTCAAGGGAGCTGGTCATTCCTTGGGAAGGTAAGCTAATTATAAATATGTTTATTTATGAAGGTGAACAATATCGATCTTTGTCACGACACTAGCCCAACACCAAATGTAACCGCTGAAGATGCTCCTACAGCCACAACAACAGCATCTACTTCAGATGCAAAGTCAAATGACGAGGCAGCCAAAGAGAAACTGAAGTTGGATAATTCGGCTCCGGTTACAACAATTCAAGTACGACTAGCAGATGGTACTCGTTTAGCAGGCCAGTTCAACTTAACGCATACCGTGGGTAACATACAGGAGTACATACAGACGTAAGTTTTGTTTAAGGCAATCATTGAAATCTATATTCAAAACGTGTATATCTCTGTACTTGTAGAGCTCGTCCACAATATGCCGATCGTAACTTTATATTGGTTTCTTCATTCCCCACAAGAGAACTTACCGACCTGACTGCTACTATCGATTCAGCTGGTTTGAAAAATGCATCATTAATGCAAAGGCTAAAGTGAGGTGGCTGTTGGTTGGCGAGTCCAAAACACGAATCTATCCCTTTGTTATAAATACGAAATATGTTCATAAGGAATTTCACGGAGAAATCTATTCCATTACACCCAAGTTTTTGATATGAAATCTAGTATACACAATAAACAAATATAAATATGCTTAACTTAAATATGCTTTATCTCTGCTGGCTGCCCAATGAATATTAAAACGGGATAATATAAATTCGAAATTTTATTTAAATTATTTGTACACTCCAGACAAATGTTAATGGAGATAATTCTACAAACTAAGATTCGTTTTGTGTCCATAAATCAAATTGACATGTTTTTTTTTGTTTTTTTTTTTTTTTAATTTACACAATTTTCAGAAGGAAATATAAGAAGAAAATTTCAAATATTTGAGAGAGACAAAATCATAAACGACATCTGAAAATTGCGAGATAAATATCTAAATTATACGGAAGACAACTAAGTGGGTTTATAATAAATATCAACTAAAATCATCCTATATCAATAGTTTTATTTCCTCCCTCAGTCTCTCCAAATGTTGCATAAAGTCTTCGCGCAACGAATTTCGCCAATCGTGCAATCCATCCTTGCCGACGTGCAGGCAATTCATATAACGATGAACAAATGCCTTGGACATGGGCAATTCTTCCCGCTTCGCTTCTTCGACACTAACCGCATTTGTATTGTCTTGTGGTCTGTACAAAGATAAGCGATGCGTTTTCACCTCGGGATCATACAATGTATTTTCTATTAAATATTTGTGTCTTTGGTCCTTGCAAATAGCAAATGTTTTCAAACCGAAATGTGTTACACTACTGTCGAAATCTCTTATAGAGCGTAATACAGATTTTTCATCATCTAAGTGGGTATTCGGATAGAAGAACTCATTGGCATTCAACAATACTGAGTGGCTTGCCCGATTAATGTTTCTCAATAGACAATCCATTTCTATGACATCACGTATCCGTTCGCTGGAGTTGCTCGAAGAGAATGGGAAGTTAAATGGCAATAGGTGTACTCGAACATTGAAACGTTGCAGTATTGGGCGCAAAGAATAGGGTATGTCATCTCCACTATAAACGATGAAATCCTCCACACCCAAAATATAATGATGTATGAAGAACTCGAGCAATTCCTGTGGCTGCTTTTCCAACGTGGTCATGTTGTAGAATTCTTCCTTGTTGTAGAAATCCAAACAAACAGTCATATGATGTACAGCTAGTTTTTGCATTCCTTTGTCTGCCACCTTTACCATTCTCAGTTTCATCGCGTAGCCATTCTTATTGTTCGCACTGGGTTCATTGAATACTACGGATTTGGGTGTACCAAAGTCGCGGGTCACTTTGCAGTAGAAATAGTAGCGGGTAAACTCGGAATTGTCATCCTCTCCGTTCTTGTCGATGCGTTGAAACCGAAACTTTCCCTGTATATTGGTAGGTCCACCAAAGTTAAGGTAACATTTAAAATTTAGTACGGCACCCTTTCGACCTACTACAATCGCCACAGCGTCTCCACCCGAAACGAGTTCATTTCTCCTCCAATATGCCGAATAACCATGAAAATGTGTGCCCAACGCTTGCCACACTGCCAAGGGGTATTCAAAGTCGCGTATATAGGTGGCATTGCTTTCAACTTTTTTCAGAACATCAGATCGATGGCCAAAGAAATTTATCACCTCTAAGACATCTTTTAAATGATTATTTTCCGACTTGTACATCAAAAGAACGCCGACACTAATGCACGAGATTATCAGGAGTAAAAGTTGCTGGTACTTCCTCATTTTTTGGCAATCAAGGCGGCTTAGTTTCTTCAAAATAAAATGATGAGATGGGAATGGTACTGGATAAGCTGATTTATATTTTAATGAACCAAAACCAACCTTGTTAACTTGTTAATTTTACAAATCCATTGGTTCATTTGTTTTTGTGAAACCCAAAACAAATAGTTTTTGACAGCAATGGACAAGACATATTCAATAACGTAAGAGTATTAGAACAGCTGATGAGACAGTGATCTGTCAAAAAAAAAAATTAAAATTCATACAGGGACGCAAGTGCGTATTGAATTAGGCTTCAATGTCAATCAGTTGTATTTTTATAATGTAAATTGCCAAATTTTAATAGAATTTATTTTTCAAATTCTGATACACATAAAAGAGGATGGATATTGTTAATATTGATTTCCCATCGATATTTTAATTTTATGATTTTGTCATGAATTTTCAATTCCATTCCGATAACTATAGTATAATGGAAAAATGACTGGCACAAATATTATGTTTATTACAGTAGTAGGCATGGTTTAACGCCAGCGGTTTTTGATCTCATATTTCATTTTAAAATCTAAATACTTTCCTATTTGGAGTAGGTCCCAATTTTCTACCTAATAATAGTGTAACATAATTCTATTTCAATTTCTTGCATATTGAATATGTATTATTGATTAGTAGTCAATTTCTTGCTAACCATTAAAAACCACATACGAATATATGTTAGGATTAACGTATCTTTTTGTATATAGGGTAAACGCACCTAATTCCGGCATGTACCAATAGTTTTATATAACTTCAAATAACTACAAAATTCTATAACTAAATATGAAAAATACCTTGAATAATCTTCAATGACACTGAAATCTATCTCTGTATAAAATTTGAACGCACTAAGTTCATTTATTCAGTCAAAAATTGGCATTTGGTCAATGAGAAAAAAAAATAGTGGACATGACAATTTCAAAAGACTTGTAACTATATTAAAATTATATTTTTTCACAAGAATCTTCTTCATAATTGTAAAGATCATAGAGGAGAATACTTAAGAATTTATAATCATTAAAAAATATTTCTAATAATGATATTTTTATCGATGCCGACCTTAGGAACAAAAAATTTTAAGGTTTTCCTATAGTCGGCATATGGGTGAATAATAAGCACTTTTTCGATCATTTTGGCTCAAAATGGAAAAAAATTTAAATAAATCCTCTAAATAACGATTATCTTATAAAAAATTAGTTTTGAGTGTTTTATATATTTAATCTCAAATACTTTTAACCTCTGAAATGCCTTATTTAGCCATACCGAGAAATGGATAACAGGTTCCCAGGTTTAAAAAGCGAAAAATATTGGTGCACTTACCCTGGTAATTAAGATTTTATTATATGGAATAGTATTGTTTCCAATATAATTAAAATCGTTAATGTATAAACTGTTGAATAACACTTATATGCTTGGACTTAAGTTGAGTTTAGGGTCTAATTTAGGATTTTGTTACCACATTAGGTCTTGTCTTCCTGATCACGAAAATGTATGTCTTTCATGGAGGAAGTTCATACTTCCCGAGAAATGGGTATCTGATGTTAAGATCATTCATATACTCATCAATTTGCCATTTATGGAGGGATTATGCTAATCTGGGTTTGGTTGTAGAGCGTGCACATTATAATTTCACATTGTGATCAGGGAAACCAAGCCCTAGCTGTGGAAAGCCCTAGCTCATATAAATCCGAGGTGAGCCCCTAAGCTCAACATGCTCTAATTGGGCTAGGACCTTTCATTTACCAAAAACGATGCGTGACAGTGGCATTTGTATGTGGTTATGTACAAACCTATACTGGGTCTGAACTTGTATGTGGCGCTCTAACCAATGATCAAACAATCCTTTCCAAAAATTATGTTCAAAATTCACTACCAGATTGACTAATGTGTATTCTACTTACCCCAATTATCAGTATAAGTATTGTATCTCCACAAGAGTATTCGGTGCATATAACTGCAGAACATGGGAAAAGCTTCGAATAATTGACATAATGCATTCTCCCGACCAGGATCTTGTAGAACTGGATCTGCCGCTCTTTCATTTTTACAAGTCTTCGGGCTAATTGTCTTTTACTCCTTTAAAACATGCACACAGTCAACTAAATTCAAAGATCCTTCAATACACAGGTTAATGGAGAAAGCTTTAACTTCATGATCACAATAATTTTTTATATTGATTATTTATTATTATTAAAAAAACAACCGACGCTTTCGAAACGCACACAAACACCTGATAGACTGTTGACCGTTTTTTTGTTCTTTTGCTCTGCTCCCACGATGTGGCATCTCCGCAAACAAAAATCCCTCTTAACTTAAGGGCTCTAAAAATCGAGAAGACAAAACTAATGGTTGTAGATTGTTAAAAAAAATTATATCGTTCATCGATGTCCAGAACATTATAAATGCTGTAATTCCTCTCTGGAGGTAAATACGAATACAAAAAGTACGTGAAGGAAAACTTTTAAAAATGGCAATGCTCAACAATTACCACAACAGGCAATCAGAGTTTGGATTTCGAGTTTGAAATGTTTCGTGGTAAAATTTAATGAACAACATTTTGATTTGTGTTCTTTAAAATTGATTTAATACCCAACATTAAAAAAGTCGGCCTCTTACAATCTGTAGTGCTAATTCTGTCGACTGTTCAACGGTAGAGTTACCGCCGATTGTCAATAACTGGCAATTTTCCTTTACTTATAAGTCCCAATTTAGATTAGGCGAGTTTACTTGCCGCAAGTCTTTGTTTGTTGGAGAGAGGGGCAAGGGGAATAGAAATGGAAAAAAATGCTCGTACCGACAATTTTCTGGCAATTCGTTTTCTGTATTTTGTTTGTAGTGCCATTTCAGAAAAAAATAATTCAACCGAATTGCCTTGTATAGAAGCATGAAGCAAGTTCAAAAGAGAACGATAAGAATTGCCGCAAATAAACTCGCCTAATATAAATCAGGACTAATTTCGAAATTAACGTTGTTCGTTAATAACCACCAACATGCCAATAAAGTATAGTAACTGCCATAAATTTAACTTTTTACATTAAATAAATTCTAATTTTATCGATATTTATCGACAACACAAACAATAGTTATAGAATTGCCCTATTAATCCCGAATACAAGGACGACAATCTTGGTGAAGAATTTTATTTATGCCACTAGAACCATTACCTATATAAACATTTTAAGATAGATACTATTGAAGAAAGTACTTTCATATGAACGTCAAATTTAAGATGTAAATAAAATATTATAAATATTTCATATGTTTTAATATTCAATAATTGCATCAATTAAATTGATCTAGGGAAATGTTTTCAAATTTACTGGTATACAAGTTCTTTATACATCAGTAATATCTTAATGTAATAATTTATTAAACTGGCACCTAATTGATTTTATATACATGTGTCTAATAACGTCATAACAGGTTCAAATCGTACAAAGTTCAATAACTTTTTAACAAGTTATAGATCATGTGAAAGTTATATCTAATTTAAAATCAGTAATGGCTGAATCCTGTTTTGTCTGGATATTATTTATTGCTCAAATCATTTACAGTTTATTAACAATCTTTCTTTTTATTACGGTCTGTTATTTTTTATTAGTTGAATGTACTTATACTTAAATAAAATACAATATTAATTATTATTTGTTTTCTTTTTTTATATAAACATAATGATGTGAGACTATGTATTCGCAATGTACCAACATTCAATTTCGGTTATCTGATATTTTCTACTTAAGTTAATCGCAATTAGCCGCATGTATTGAAGAGTATCATGTAAAAGCTTGGTCGGCCACTTCATTCCAAATATGGAGTTCTTGATCATTTTTCAGGATTATGATGTCCTTGATATAGTTTATTTAATTCGTCAATTATTTTTTCCCCACACAAATTTAAAATTTTGTTTAAATCCTTTTTATTGGTGCTGGGAACTACTTCACTGCACTTTTGCATTCAACGAATATCCAAATTGAAATGCTGTTTACATTTGCTGGACTTTTTGTATGAATTCTTCTGGTGACATTTATGAGCAATGGTCATTACCATTCGAATAGCCATTTCATGTTTCTGTGTACGTGAGTTTGTGTGTTTTATTTGTTGTATCCCATTGTGATGTCGGCGATGAGAAGACCTTCAGAATCAGTGGTAGGCAATTAATTAAACACTTGTACCCCGTAATGTAATTAGGAACAATTTACGTTTTTTCGTCAACAAATCAAATCCAAGTCAATAACGCTAGACGACTGTTGTTGTGTTGTGTATCGGATGTGTGTGTGTCTGTAACATGGACCAGTTTCCTTTGTTTTCAATTAACGAAGACTTTTCAAATTCAAATTTGCAAACATTTGTCTCACCAGTAACCGAATCAACTCAAATCAGCACAAATTGAATTTAGTTGGTTTGTTGCTGTGTTGGACGTTGGGTTTAGGCTTGGAGACGACGAAACCCAAAAAATGGATTTCGATAACGTACTTACAGAAGTTGGATCCTTTGGATTGTATCAGAAAATCATTATATGCGCTGTACTATTGCCGGCGGCCCTGCCCTGTGCATTCCATGCTTATAGGTAGGTAAGCAAGAATAATTCATCTATTTGTAGCTGCAGTGTGTGTGCGTTTGTGAACACTCTCCAGGAAGTTGAAATAAAACCAACGTAGTCAATTGTTTATTGCAGCAACACCCAAACACTGGTGCCGCACTCCAGAGCTGGAGCCATGGGTTCAGGATTACACGGAATTGGTCATGAATTTGAGTATTCCCATTAAGAACGATGCATACTCGGAGTGTCACATGTACGCCAGGAACTATTCAGATATTGTACGTTATTTGGAATATCGTACGCCACTAGAATTGCAACGTGATAAGGTGTGGCACATCGGAAATCCAAGAGGTTCAAACATGACAACATGTCAATACGGATGGCATTACGATCGATCTCAATATCCTGTAACAGTCGTAACGGAGGTAATGTCTATATCCTTGTATGTAAAATCCTTGAATATTCCTTTAAGGATTTTCTGAGAAAATATTTTGTTAGCCTGAATGTCCTTTATTTTTGTGTTTTAGTGGAATTTAGTATGCGATCGGAGTTATTTGGTAACATTGGCTCTGGTCATCTTTGGCATTGGAGGTCTCGTCGGCAATTATATATTCGGATACTTACAGGACATGTGGGGAAGACGTCCTTCGTTCTATGCCTATTTATTGCTAGAAATTGTTGCTTGTGCTGCCAGTGCGATTGCTTGGAATTTTGAGGTGTGGTTAGGATTACGATTTGTTGTGGGCCTGACTGTACCGGCGATACTGGCAAGTCCTTACGTGTTAGGTAAGTTAAATCCACGTACATGTCCTTTGTAATATAAGAATTGTAATATTTTATTCCAGCAATTGAAATGGTGGGTCCGGAAAAGAGGGTTTTTTGCACAATTGTCTCCAATATTGCCTATTCGTGCGGATTGGTTCTGCTGGCCGGTGTCGTTTATATTGTGCGAGATTGGAGATATTTAACATTGGCTGTTTCACTGCCATTGCTTTTGCTATTTTCGTGTTTTTTCGTTTTACCCGAGTCACCTCGTTGGTTGATGGCCGTCAACCAGCCGCGCAAAGCTGCCAAGGTCTTGAAAGTTATGGCTCGTGTAAATGGCATAACGGTGGTGCCGAATTTTGTTAATATCGTCGAAGAACGATTTCACAGGGCCCGTGGTCCAAATGATTCTGCCACCTCCCATGGCATATTGGATTTATTTCGAACCAAAAATATGTTCCGCAAGACCATGATTATTACATTGATTTGGTTTGCCAATACCAGTGTCTATGTGGGTTTGAGTTATTACGCCCCTGCCCTGGGAGGTGACGAGATATGGAATTTCTTCTTGGCTGGGGTAGTAGAGCTACCAACATACATTTTGTTATGGCCAGGGCTTAACTACTGCGGCAGACGTTCTATTCTTTGCATATCCATGCTGTTGGGAGGCATTGCATGTGTCACAACATCCGTCTACAGCGAGGATACAAAAATTATGCTCATATTGTACTGCATTGGCAAGATGGGTATCTCATCCGCGTTTGTGGTATTGCCATTATTGGCATCTGAAATCTATCCAACCGTGGTCAGAGGTCTGGGTATGAGTTTTAGCTCTGTCATCGCAATGATTGGTCCCATCGTTATACCCATTATTAATCATATGGGTCAAGAAATGTTGGTGTTGCCATTGATCATCATGGGAGGCCTATTGATCGGTGGTGGCATTTTTAGCCTTTTCTTGCCAGAAACACGTGGAAAGAGCTTACCCCAAACAATCGAGGAAAGCGAATCGATACCCTTAAGTTTTCTGCCTCGATGTTGTGGTGGAAGTAAAGTTCCTAAAAGTAATCTGGATAAAAGTACAAATAACCGAAGGGATTGCAATAATAGTGGTAGCCACATTGTCTGTAGTATATGTAAATCGGAAATTAGAAGTCGTAGAGTATAGTAGCAATGTATTTAATTAAAAATAAAGTTTTGTTTAATTTTTTGTTTGTGTTTTAAATTATTTCAAAAATGTTTTGAGTCTTCTCACGGAATACTCTTTGGTGAGCACATGTCCATCCGATGTGGCTATACTAAGACACTTCGAATTTTTAGAGGTTTAAAGAGGTATTGACAGAACATTTAGGGGTCAGTGTTTTTATATTGCCCCCATTTTAAGTATATCAAAAATTATACACGAAAGTTCAATTAAAATCGCTGTAGAATATTCTCCGCCATCCGTACTTAGAATTTCGATTATTAATGTAAAACTTACCCGGTAACAGTAGGTGCGCTCCGCATTCATTGCGTTTTCAATAAAATCCTTGTATATCCCCACTATTCCAACAATTCTTCTATTACTTCATTTTTGTTTTGTGTTTTTCTGTAAATTATATTGTTTATTAATTCAATATCATGGTGTTCCTTTTTCAGCAGTTGTATTTATGACTTTTAATTTAACAGAATTATTGTCAACATTTAGAAATTTTGTTAATATAATTATTATGGATTCTGTTAGACAGAGGATTTCTTCAGAATATTTCATTTTTTGATTTTAAAATATGTCCACATTGAGTAACTAAGATTGTGCCACAAAATGTATTTATTTTTTTAATGCATACAAGACAATCAACATTAATTTACCATCAAAAAGTTAGGTTGTTTATGCACATGAAATAACACATGTCATGTTAACCATTAATTTTATAATTTATTTGTTTTGGTTTACAACAATGATGATTATATTTAATTTGTGGCACGGATAATTTTAAATAAAACATTAAAATGAAATTCAAACATTTTTCATTTATATATCTCACATTCATCGAAATTTATTTTTATTCATACTTATTTTCTTCCAACAGATTTGGATACGGGAAATTTTTAATTAAATGTAAATTTATTTTTTGGGAACATTAATACTTTTTCTTTGGGGGAACTAAACAGTTTACATATTTATATTGTAAACAAATTATGGCCAATCTTATTCTAAAACAAATGAAATATAAGAGAAGAGTTTGCAGTTCAATGAACTAAATAGTTGTTTATACACATAAAATATACATAGATATGCATTTAAAGCAATATTTCAATTTTCAATAATTTAATATTTTTAAGAATAAGAACTAGAAAAAGGAATTAAGTTTTTTGGTATTGAATGGATTTAATGAAAAATAACAAAAAAAATCACAACAACAAATTATAAAGACAGTAACATACATATATAAATAATATGAAAAATACTTAAAATTACATTTACATATAGCATAGTTGAAAGAAAAACAAAATTCAATAAACCACTTATGATTAATTAGTTATAAACGGTTGATAACAGTTTACATCAGTTTAATATCTTATGCTGCATAAATATAATAAAACCGAATATTATTTGGGGGGAAACAACATTAAATAGTTTCTTCTTATTGGTAATATAATATGTTTATTTAATAATAAATAATTTATGTTGCATGTGTATGACTGACTTTATTATGAGGAATTATTAGAAAAAAATAACAAAGCATGTGTTTTAAGCAAACACACAAGACAAAAAATATGTTAGTTGCAATCATACATACACACAGGATTAATAAATTCAATTTGGTTTGGATTCGTTTAAGTTTTACACTAAGCAATGATCAGTGTGAAAGGAAGGGGGTTTTCTTTTTATTTTTTGTTTGTTAATGTGGTTTATAGTTATGTTGTTCTCTTTGTACCATTACACGCTTTACACTCAGTCCTAATCCCTTGAAGCGCCGATAATGGCCAAAATATACATGAAGATATTGATAATATCCAAGTAAAGATTCAAAGCCGCAAATATATATTCTTCGGGACTAATGGAGTACTTGTGATTTCCGCCCATCATCAATTGGGTATCATAGACCAAGTAAATGGAGAATAGCAGAGCGCCAATCGATGAATAAACCAGAGTCATTATTTTGCCTGGAATGAAAATGGCCACAATACCAAAGATGACAAATACGACCATGCAGACCAGTAGTACACCGCCACACATGGTGAAATCGTATTTTGTCTGGAATGCAAAAAGTGTCAACGCCAAGCATACAGCAGCAGTTATACCAACGGCCATAAGAACCTGAAAAGAAAATCAAATATTAGTTCACTGGACCAAGGCGGGGTTTGCTATGGTGGTCTGCTTTTCCACGATACAGGTGTGTATATCATTATTTAAGCGTTTTCATTTTCGTGAATGAGTGGAAACGTATTGAATTTATTTAAAAATTAGAATAATATTTTCTTGCACCATCTTCACTAGCATATATACCTGTATATCAGAACATAGAATAGATAGATAATAATTTACTTACCTCGGTAGGAGCATATGTGCTTGCTGATACACCCAATAAGAAAGACTCCGCTAAAGTAAACAGGCCCAGGAAGATGAAATTCATTGGTGTCTTACGACGTACACCTTCACAGCAGGCCATACAGATCATTGTTACGAGAAGAACGGCCAATGCAACCCAAAACAGAGCTGGATTGGCTCTAGCAAAGTCCTTTGTGGCCTTATTGAATGAAAACAAGGCCACAAAACCAAAAGTAACCAACAATTGTCCCTAAAAAAAAACAACAAACGATAAGGTAGATAATTTTCCATGCGTTATTGATGTTGCTATTGTTTCAGACTTACCATCAAAATAAGATAAACTTTGCGTATGAAACCCTTGCGTACACTTTGATCATCGAAGGCAAAATTCTTGGGACCTTCAGGATCTTCATAACCACCATAGTCGTTTTGTGGTGGTGGCACAAAACCCGCTTGTGGTGGAACAAAGCCAGGACCACCAAAGCCACCTTGTGGAGGATAACCGCCTGCCGTTGGATAGCCTCCTGGTGGTGGATAACCACCAGGTGGAGGATAACCTCCGGCTGGGGGATAACCGCCTGGTGGTGGATAACCACCCTGGGGATAACCGCCACCATAATATTGTTGATTCGGATCTATAAAAATGAAAACAAAGACAATTATTGTACTAATCTTCATCTATCAAGTGGGAATTTTGTAGATCTAAAAAACATGCGAAGTCTATACAATAAATGTGTACGTAGGTATGTAGCAAACTCTCGTTCGAAACATGATCATGCAATCTAATTATTTTACAAGCTCTGTAACTTTCCTCCGCCCTGCTGATTTACAGATTGGTACATCTTCTTGTATTTTATTATTGTGTTTTTTCTTAAATTATAAAAAGAAGTTTCCCGACTACTCGAATGTATTTAATCGAATACTAAAGGTGTGTGTTAATCATCACACTTGCAAAGAAGTTCGTTTATTTTCAACTGAAAAAGACTACTTCTGTGCAATCTAAAATAACTTCGTGGTTTTGTTATCGCATAGATAACGAAAAATATCAGAATATTTTTATTTAATACACTCACACACACAAACAATTGCGTATACTACAGTATGGTCTAAAAATTTAAGGACGGTTATTTTTTCTTAAAATACATGTATGAGCACGAAATGTTTGTGCCTGTGTGTGTGGGTGAATATACGCCATATATTCACACACTTAAGTAGCAATGCTACCATCATTTTAATTTAAAGTTTTTTTATTTATATATAAGTGGTAGTAGTATTGACAAAAGAACACCTGGTTCGTTTACCAAATTTCCGTATAAACACTTTGTTATATATACATAAAGAAAAAATGTGTGTGTGTGGTTTATCAAACATTCGATATGATTAATAATAAATGCCGTTAGAAGAATGATTGAAGGCAAAACATTCATATTTCTGACGAATCTATAACAATTTGTTGTTTAAATTTGAAATGTTATCAATTGCTCATGAAAATGGTTTCCATTAGATAAAAAGAAAAATATAAATAGTTTCAGAAAATTATTCTTGACCTATGATACTTCTTGTGATCAGTAGTGTGTTTAGGCATTTTTTACAACTCATTTAAAACCACACATACCTCACATGTTTCATAATACACATCATTACATAAAACAATCTAGCAATAAAGTTCTGATTCATTGACATCGTTAACTATAAAGATTGGGTATTCCCACTGAATGAAAATAATCCATTTATCCGATAGTAGTAAAATAATAATTTCAAGTGGAAAATGGTACATCTAGCAAAATATAAATATTCACAAATACAAATATGTAGCGGTTTTCTAAAATTTCATTTGCTGAACTGAATCAGGTTTACCTGTATTTGACGTCATTTGTGTGCCTTCGAATTGTATTAACTCTTAGAAGAAACACAATTATGTTGTTAATTTAATTAGGAAAATAAAGTGTAGTTGTTTGTATTTTGAGTGTAAATATAGTCAAGCTGGGCTTACTCAGCGCTAATTTTTATCACTTAAATGTAGCAAGCATTATACTATACACATCTTCACAAAATTAAAAGTTAGCCAGATAGTTGTTGAAGAATAACTTGCGATGAGAAATAAAATTATATTCCCCATGAATTTCAAGTGATATTCATGCTTTACTAGTTTTTTGTTCATTAAAATTGACTGATTGCTGTTAATATGGGATTTGAATTTTAAACATTGAATATTTAGCCCTATTTTTAATTTTTTTTAAGGAAATAATTTTCCGAAGTGGTCACATTTTGAATCCTAAAAAAAACTAGATGTAATTTCAACGTGGGATGAATAAGGTGATGTTGTACTGACTTTTTAAATTTTTAAGTTTGGGAGACATTCTGGCGAAGAATTTTAAAATTTAGAAGTAGTAATTTTAATCGTCGCTAAAAATATCAATTATTGAAATACAGATTACCTTGTGTAAATTTTGAACTGAGTTCTTAAACGTATATGTGGAGACAGACGAACGGTCGAAGAGTATAGATGTTCAGAAAGTAATTGTAACAAAATAATCACACTTAACCATAAAAAGCAAATATTCGAGGAGTAAAAATTGTAAAACAGACTATCAATGGAACCTGCAAAGGCGATATTTATCTAAAGGAACCGAAATAAGGCACTTTAATCTTCTTTACAGACGCTATGGTGGAAACTAACATTATGCATACCATCACAGAATATTGATGTGATTTAGTACACTAATTGAAGCAACGGTAGAATGAGTTCATTAGTTTATGTTTAGAATAAGGCACATGAATTTATACATATCTGGTGGATTCATCAATACTGATATTGACATGATGATTTGTATTGAAACATAACAAATGGTGTGTACGTCCGCATAAATACTGCCATAGTGTTGTTTAACGTTATAAGCATCTACAGTTGTGTATACAAAAATATTCTACAATTGTTCTCGATTAAAATTCTATGTGATTGTAAACCGAAACTTTGGAAATGTTTGTATATGTATGTTGTTGAAGGGATAATTTAGTAGTTTTATGTGCCATTTTCTGTTAGAATGATGAATATTCATAGAACATGCAGAAACTTTAACCAGCATAAAATGTTACAAAAGTTATTAATAGAATAGAATTTACCCATTGAAAGAGTTTAGTAAATAAATAGAATGAGTGTATCACAAATTCTACTAATTAAAACCAGGAAGTAACTCCGTTATGATGCACAATCGAAACGATGAAATTCACATTCATTCAATTCGGCCTAAATAAATCAGATGCATAGACACAACTACGAAATATGCACAATTTCTTCGGGTTTACGATAAGAGTTATACTCAGCAAAGGGCTGACATCTAAAGTAGAATGATACACATATATGAACGATTAAGTGTTCGTTATAGATGTACTCATTTGTTTATAGGTTTCTGCTTTCAATTTCATACTGGTAGTAAGTTTCTATTCTAAAATACATATATACACAGATTAGTATGTTGGTGTTTTTAACGTGGATTTTATTCAAATCTAGGTTAGTGAATTAGTAGCAAAACTAAAGTGTTAACGAATTCATCATACGAAAAGAAATGATAACAAAGAAAATAGATAAATAGACACCTTGATAGTAGGGCCCGCCTTGCCAAGACATTTTTGTTTGTTCTTTTTGTTTTTGTCTTGAATTTAGAAAATTCTCTGATGGAAAATGGACTTCACTAAAGAAATTCTTCTTCTACTTCTATTATAGTTTGTTTTTCTTGATTTTTGAACAATTAGACTGTAAATTAGAAAACACACAACATTAATAGATTTTTGTCTTCTTTACTTACCAGCCATACTGAAGTTTTTCTTTTGCAAGTTAGGCTCGTTTAATATATCTGAATTCGATCAGTAGATAAAATACCTGTAATAAGATAAATAATATTAGTTATTAAGCAGTTAGCAAAATTCGATTTCCACATTGAATTCATTTACTTTTAAAATAACAGCTCCTATTTTTTCCCAATTGTATTAAGTCAACAATTGAACCCTAATTATTAGTATGTGTCCAGTCCAGTCCAGCCAGTCAATACCTTTTATAAATTTGTAATCTAAAAGAAGTACTTTTCCTTATTTACCAAAAGACACATTTAATCATATATGGACACATATAACCACTACACCACATCACACAATAGATTATTGCTATGACGGGTATTGGCTCGTATATTGTTTTTATGTCAGACGCAACATCTATTGATAAGATAAATACACAAATTTACAAATTAAATGGTATGTTTGTGTTTTTGTATGTGTGTGTCGACTTTTAAACATTATTAGAATATTAAAACGATTGCTTTCCCTCTCCAATCAGGACATCCGATTATGAGACTACCTATTTCCTGACATCCATTGGAGTCAAGGCAACGACTTAACGAATGTTCGGGGTTATTTGCTCTGATTTAACAAGAGGTCAATGGATGCCGTCATTCTTAACGTAAATAATAAGCGAGACCGGACGGACGTCAAATATTTCACCACCTTCGCGAAAATCGTTTACTGAACAACAACAAATACTGGAACACTTCATTTTACTATTGATGGAATGAATGTTGGTGGTGGTGGTGACTCATTCCTAAGCGGTGCACTTACACGACTTATCTTCGCACTGTAGATTATTGCACAAGTTAATTTTTGTACGATTTTTTCACTGTCAATCCATTGGCATTCGTAAATTTCTCATAATTACCTTTTCGCACAATTAACACGGGAAGTTGTTTGTGTTTTTCGCTCGTAAGAACACTTGGAGTAAAATAGTTTGAAACTTTTTCTCGTCTCCGCCTTGGCTTTAACTTGAGTACGACTTTTTGTTTTGAATTTCTATATTTTTCTGGAGGTCTCCAAGGGAGAATGAATTAATCGATTAGTATCAACCTTAATTTCGATAATATTCGATTAACCCTTTGACAGTTTAGCGCCGTTAATAATCGATTATTATCGGAATTAAGGTTGATAATAATCGATTAATTCTTTGACAGCTTAACGCCGTTAATTTTAGCTCGGCTTCATTTACCGTTGGAGACATCCAGAAATTATATTCTAAAGGGCCCCATACACTATACATCATGCCGTCATGCCGATTCGATTTTTGTCCCAAAAAATGAATTATGAGTCGTAAATTAAGTTGGTTTTTTATTCCGTCACAATTTTATTATTTTTGTACACAAAATTATTTACTGACAACTTTCAAAATGAATATTATTCACCAGATTGATAGAGTTTCATTTTCAAAATCAAAACTATTTTGATTTTCTTTATGCATGGTGTATGTCACACATACATAAATAAACTTTCAAAAAATAACACCTTTGTAGTCCAAACACATCCCCCAAAGAAATGGAGTCAAAGGGTTATGTTTCTATATAGGATTTATATAGACATGATGTGTATATTTATTAAGGGCCCCATACACTATACATCATTCCGTACAGCATTTATCATAGTATTGGTCTGTTCCCGTACTGCAAGAATCTACGAGTTTTTACTATTTCTTTTTTCGATATTATAAAGGAAAAAAGTGTTATCGTTGTAAAAAATTCTTGCAGTACGGGAACAGACCAATACTATGATAAATGCTGTACGGAGGTGGCATATTAACACATGGCATTGCTGACGATAGCAGATGTTTGGTGTTTTTCATTTTTGCTTTAGGGAACATTTCCTTCCTTAAAATGTCTCGCACAGATAACCGAGCTGTTCTTAGTGGTTATGCCGTATATATCCAGCAACATAGGTTTCCATGCATTCTTTACAGCATACACAGAAACCGCTGTTCTTTACATCAGAGATGCGTTTACGCATCGCCACAGGCAGGAACAAAAAGGTACCTAAAACTTTACTTCAAATGATAATAAATCATAATTATCAAGAAATATTGACCAATATGTATACCAGTTATTTGCGTAAATATTAGATGTTATAATTTAAGCGTAAATGTATTCACGAATAATAAAAAAATCTACTTTTTGTTTTGGTACGTTTATGTCAATTCTTACCTTTTGTGAACAAAAAAGTACGCTGTTTACAAAATTAAAAATAGCGCAACTCTCATTACTCTCAATTTACCAATGAGAGAGAGAAAAACTCTCAACACCAATCCTAATCACCAATAGTGTAAAACCACGCAAAGGTTCAATCGATTATTATCGGAATTAAGGTAGATACTATTCGATTAATCCATTGACAGCTTAGCGCCGTTATTTATTATAGTTCGGCTTCATTCTTCGTTGGAGACCTCCAATCAAAACAAAAAGTCGTACTCAAGTTAAAGCCAATGAAAAAGTTTAAAACTATTTTACTCCAATTGTTCTTAAGAGTGGAACGCGAATAGACCAAAAATCCATTTTTTTATGAATATCCTTATTTGACATGTACGCTATGGAGTTGTCATTTGAGATTGAGTGAAATTAGTAGTTCGATTTACTTTGACGTATATTTCAATATATGGTCTGTTCCCCTACTGCAAGAATCTACTATATTTTACCATTTTCTTCGATAACATAAAGGAAAATTTGTTATCGTAGTAAAAAGTAGTAGATTCTTGCAGTACGGGAACAGACCAATATATGAAACAAATTAAGCAGGATTTAGAACTTAGAACATTGTACCGGGTTAACAAACTTTATGAGGATTTATTTGATATATATACAATGGAATTGACAATTGATGCCCACTGGATTAGAGAAGTCCGGTATAATGTTAACGTACTATTACTCTTGATAAAGCAGTTTATCATTTATTTTTAATTTAATTTTCGTGTATATTTTAAAAAGTACTTCGTCGAAATTAAATCCGACATCATTAGTCTGTTCCTGTACTGCAAGAATCTACGAGCTTTTGCTATTTTTTCGATATCATAAAGGAAAAAAGTGTTATCGTAGTAACAAATAGTAGATTCATGCAGTACGGGAACAGACCACATGTAAACTACAGCACATTACGTTTTTAGAATAGGTTGGCAATCATTTGGCAGCTGCTGCATATGACCAAGCATTCATCTGGCACCATCAACTCTCTTTGCTTCTTCTTTTAGCCACGACTGCCAGCCAGCAAATTATTCATCTGTTTGGACGGTGCAAAAAGTTATTGTTTTCTGTTTAAAAACAGTAAAATCTTAAGTCAATTAAAAGGTAAACATACACAACGACGTTTTACAATATATGTGCAAATACAAATAACCGCATCCGATGGTTTCAGAGTGAATAACACCATCTGAGTAGTACTGAAAACATGTGACTGAAGAACCGGAATTTTTACGACAATGGAAGAGATTACATTAAATTCTTACATCTGTTGCGTTGATAATTATAATCGGATTATTCCAGGCCATTTTGTGTAATGTTTAATTCAAGTTTCTTGCAATGTTTCACGTTAAAATCAAATAACTTTGTATCATGATGCAATCGTCCATACTTCGTCATGTAAATAACTAAGAGAATCAAAGAATTCGTTCTCTTTGTTTCTCCGAGAGGTTCTTATCAGTAGGCTCTCTTTATTGTTATGCCTGCAATAGGTGCAATAGATCGGGGCGTTTTGCGGCTCTACTAATGTTTTTGTGGTTTAAGTTTTAACATTTTTATTTTTATTCTTTATTTGACAGATAAAGGCACGTCTTATCACAATGGTGACCGAAAACGAAACCGCCACGAAAGCACCGAATTCCAACGGAAAAGAAGGGGAGACTACTTCAAAGAAAGCTGCCAAGAAACAGGCCAAGGAAGCCTTAAAGGCTGCCAAGGTAAGTTCGATGACAATCAAACGCGGACATGGCCACAGGATATTAAATTATCTACTTATTTACAGAAAGCCGAATATAAAGCCGCTGCTGGCAAAACTGATAACTCCAACAATGCCGCCGATAGTGCAGAAGATGTGTCAGCAGGTTGCTATGGCTTATACGGCATCATCAATTCCAAGGAAAAACATGAAGAAAGAAACTTTGTAACTGTCGTCGATTTGAAAGAGCATGTCGGCAAAGCTCCTGTCTGGGTTAGAGGACGTGTTCATACATCGAGAGCAAAGGGCAAACAATGTTTCCTCATTTTGCGCCAGAATAGCAGCACAGTCCAATGTATTTTGGCAGTAGGTGACAAAGTATCGAAACAAATGGTGAAATTTGCTGGCAAGTAAGTATTTCTTCAAAGGGAAAATGCTACAGACACCATTGTTTATTCACATTTCGTCTTTTTCACAGTTTGAACAAGGAGAGTATCATCGACATTGAAGCCTTGGCAGTAAGTGTACCAACTAAAATTGAATCTTGTACCGAACAAAGCCTTGAATTGTCAATACAACAACTGTTTGTGGTATCACAAGCCAAGCCTCAATTGCCATTGCAAATTGAGGATGCTTCAAGGCCCGACAACCCTGACGACACCGATGGCCTTAATATTCGTGTCAATCAGGATACCCGTTTGGATAATCGTGTTTTGGATTTGAGAACTCCAGCAAATCAAGCCATTTTCCGTTTGGAAGCTGGCGTATGTCGCCTATTCCGTGATATACTTACAGCCAAGGGCTTCACAGAGATCCATACCCCGAAAATTATTTCAGCTGCTAGTGAAGGTGGTGCCAATGTGTTTACTGTCAGCTATTTCAAAGGTAAAAAACCATGCATTTTTACGTTCTCTTATGTCCTCAATATACTTATCATTTGTTTCCTGTTGCTTTCTTGCCATTTAGAATCCGCATATTTAGCCCAGTCTCCACAACTGTATAAACAAATGGCCATTGCTGCTGATTTCGACAAAGTCTTCACGGTTGGCGCTGTATTCCGTGCTGAAGATTCCAATACACATAGGCATTTAACAGAATTCGTTGGCCTTGATTTGGAGATGTCTTTCAAATATCATTACCATGAAGTTCTGCACACAATTGGAAATACCTTCACCGAGATTTTCAAAGGATTGCGCGATCGCTACAGCAATGAAATTGAAGCAGTTCGACAACAATACAGAGTGGAGCCATTCAAATTTCTGGAGCCTCCACTAATTTTGGAATTCTCCGAGGGTGTAGCTATGTTGCGTGAAGCTGGCGTTGAAACTGGTGATGAAGAAGATCTCTCCACACCCAATGAGAAGTTGTTGGGTCGCCTTGTGAAAGCAAAATACGACACCGATTTCTATATTTTGGACAAATTCCCCTTGGCTATACGTCCCTTCTATACCATGCCCGATCCAAACAATCCAATTTATTCCAATTCCTATGATATGTTTATGAGAGGCGAAGAAATATTGTCCGGTGCACAGCGTATTCATGACCCAGAATTTTTAACAGAAAGAGCTAAACATCACGGTATCGGTGAGTACAAAACAACGAAGACAGTATCGATAAGCAATTGGTAAATCGTTATCATTTCTATTGCAGATATCAGTAAAATTGCTGCCTACATTGAATCGTTCCGTTTTGGATGTCCACCACACGCTGGCGGTGGCATTGGTATGGAACGTGTTGTTATGTTGTACTTGGGTCTTGACAATATTCGCAAAACTTCAATGTTCCCACGTGACCCCAAGAGATTGACTCCTTAAATTGTCATCATAGCTTAACACAAATGAAGAAGAAAGCTAGAAGCTTTTAAGAACAGCCTTTCCTTTTGCTTTAGTTTCACTGTTTAGTTGACATTTTTATTTTCCATTTTGGTTAATTATCATCATGAATAATTATTTTATTAAGTTTTAACCAACAACAACAAAAACAAATACATTATTTTTTCTTTCTCTAACGAAACGATTTACTTAATTCTATCCTCGATATATTGTAGTTTACAATATTTGTGTTGTCCAACAACAAAAAACAAAAAGCGATAAAAAATATCTATGCGAAAAAACGAAAAATTTTCGAACTATTTTTAAGGCTGATTAATCTACTAATAGTGCGCCCGAAAGAAGGACAAACATGTCGGAAATTCACATTTTTTTAATAAATAAAATTATTTAATTTTTGTATCCCAAATAAATTATGTAGTTATAATTTTGGGGTCTATTGCAAGTGGATCGATCATATGTATAAAGTGGAATTTGGGAATTTATAATGAATTGTAACACAATCGTTGTGGACTATGCACTGTACTAAATTCTGAGTTCTCCTTGAATCTAGGTAAGAATTCTTCTCGAGGAGTTATGGTATAAGAGTTTTAATGTTGGGTATAAGTGGACAATATATTTTGGATATTTGTAAAAAATCTGGAATTGTAGTTATTTTATATTGATCAGGTAAAATAAACACATGATTTTAGTTAACCCAGATAACGTCAGATATTTGTTTAAATCGTATGTTTCACTCCAAACCTTAAATATACGCTTAGAATAAACTTTAGAATAATAAAGTAATTTAGAAAATTCACAAATAACGATTGTTTCTAACAGTTATACTGAAATTTTTTCTATTCTTTAAGAAGGACGGTTGCGTCAAATGAGTTAAGAAACTTCATTATGAATTACAAATTATTTTTAGATATGGAAATTGTAAAGGACATGTGTAAAGATATACAAATGTATTCCATGATTTGATAAAAAAAAACATATTTCATAAAATAGACAAAAAAGGTCGCCAATTTTTAACATATGCATTTCTTATAAATAATTAATATGGGATTTGCTTAATATGAGATTTATAAGTTATCATAATATTGACCCTTTTTGGGGGGAAATACTAGAAGAAATGCGGCGATAAGGCCATTTTCCAACAATATACAGGTTTGGTTTAAATTGGATAGTCCGTTCTGATCATTATTTACCTGAGATAGAGCCAAATCAATGTCATTGTATGTGCTCAACTTTTAAGTTTGTCGGACAAATATAGCATCTCTGGTGTACGATTTACATTAAATCGAAGAAAAGCTTGTATGTGGACCGAATCTTACCTATTTCAATTGGGTTCGTTTGTTAATTGAATGACAAGTTACAGAGGGATTTAATAAATGCGAGTTGTAGATGGATAGAGGGACGGGCATGGGTAAGTCGGCTCCAAAAGAGATTATCAATATAACTTCAAAAGGACCCATAGGCACTTCTTTTGTATATTAAATACAAAACGAGCAATGACAAACAGATAGCGGATCAAATGGACCCAGACTTTTGTTTGAAAATAACAAAATTTGTATTCTACAGCGTAAGTTGATATTATATCCAAGAGGAGTGGTTGCCCTTTAAATTGATATCAATTATATTGTCGTATATACTCGAATGTGGTAGTTACACGTAAATATTTAAAGGTACTTGCGTATTCAGATTACTAATCCATTACCACACTGGAGGGCTGAAATATAGCGCTGATCGCTTTGAAATGTTCCATGAGGTTCCAGTTATGATCAAGGGCAACGCCTATAGTGAAGGGAATATGGACGAGTAATTAGGAGGACTGTACTGAATATTAGTAACATTCGGAAAATAAGTAAGGAAGAGGTGCAGTTGATTTTTAATCGGACAATAGGTTGCATCTATCTCGACACATTTGCCCAGGCTGGGAATAAAAATCCGCAGAAAGTTAGAGTTTCGTGGTAGTTGTGTAGATTATGGTATGGTCGGCCCCGTCCGACTACCAAAAATTACCAATAACATTTGCCGTTTTAGTATAACGGTAAATCTACTATTCGGTATTTTGAAGATTTCAGGCATATTTTTCTAACATCAGGCTTCATTTTCTGTAAACTTAAGGTCTTAGCTCAACCTGAGTGTTTGTAGTTTGGTATTTTGCTTTCTCCTGGAAGCCATGATCGATTTTAGGTATTTTGCATTTCCATCTCATGGTAGAAGTTATAAAAAATTCGGTCCGGCCGAACTTAAGGAACTTTTTATTAATTTTATCCATTTATTTAATATTTTTTAATTGTTTCTTATTTTCATTATTATTTATGTCTATGCTAGATATTAGAGGAATTTAAATAATTTTTTTATTGTGTAACTAATTAGGGTCTTTTTGGCTTTGAATTAAACCTTTTTATGTTTATAATAAGTGTATTTATGCCTGCGGACGGAGTTTTAGTTAATAGTTCCCCAAACTTGGCAGTATGTTTTACAATTTTAATATATAATAATAAGACCCGCATCAGGCAAACTCCCGCACGCGTTTTCTCTTCGAGTGCAATTTGTGTGAAACTTTGGGTTTCTTTTCCGTTGCTTTTTTATAGTATTGTTTGGGCAACTAACCCAACACCTCAACCCATTTCTTATAGTTCTTATGGGTGAACACGCGGCTACCCCAGGTGACACCATGGGGAGGTCAGTGTATCTATCATCCCCTAGGTCACCCGATCGATCATTGGGACTGTTGTAAAAAACTTGTTTACAAAGTTAAATTAAATATGAAATAAATTGTTTTGTGTAGAATTCACAAATATTAATTTTTAATATAAGTTTAAATTTTTGTCAGTAGTCGAGGTCAATTTTTTGTTGACAACATTCTAAACGGGCAAATTTTGTTTGTCTAATCGATTTATAACTATATAACCTATTGTCGATTAAGGGATGTCAGTATCATCGACATAGATTACAATTACTGGCTACAGGTTATCATATTTTTAATAGGGGAGAGGGGGGCACCTTTGAACACTTTTTGCTTTCAAGCCTTATACAATTTTTTATTTTATAATTTTTGGTTTCTTATAAATTTTAACTAATAGGTACATATGTAACCTTTAAAATGAATATACATATGACATACTTTAAGCTTGATATACATATTTTATTACTGTTTTAATGGAGGAAGTCAAAGTGTTCAAAACTGCCCCCCCAGGGGCGTACCTTTGAACAAAGCTTGGTATTTTTGAACGGCATGGTTTTTTACAGTCTTTCTGTTCAAATATATATGTATTTTATTCATACATATCAGAAATGCATTAATTCATTAAAAAATATATAAAAAATGTTCAAAATTTAAAAAAATTAGATCAAAAGTTATTAAAACATAAAATGACTTAAAAACAAAAATTAATATGGTGAAAAATACAGTTATTTTCGTAATCTTATTAGCCCATTTGAAATTTTGAGAAATCGAATCCAAAAGTTAAAAACCATTTTTTACTCGAGTTTAATGGGCATGTTCAAAGGTGCCCCACCCATGGCATTTTACGGAAATTTAAAATAACTTTTTTTGTAATAAATATATATGAATGAAATTACATTAGTTATGTTTGAAATGATAGTTGCAATGCAAAAAAATTGTTTGACGAAAGAAAACTATCACAGAATTCTTCCTGCGCCCTTACAACCAAATGAAAAAAAGTTTACAATGACACTGAGAAAACATGGTCACCGATGCACAATTTTTCGACAAGTAAAAAAGCAAGCCAAAGTGGTTTACGCATATAGAGAACAAGATTGCCATATCCAAAAATGTGGTTGCGGGTCGGAAAAATATTAAACCAAGATTTTATGAGCGCTGTTCAAAGGTGCCCCCCTCTCCCCTACTAAATTGTAGTATTTAAAAAAATACGCTATAAAGTTATAAAACACTGTTTCATTTATTTTGTCAGTTTCTCAACAATTTAATTGACAAACAGTATTTATGTAAGACTATGAACAAAGGAGACACTATTATCCTTTTCGATAAAAAATCTATGATTTACTTCGTCAAGGTCTATTTTAATTAAACTATCCCAATAAATCATATCAAAAGAAAGCAACAACAAGCTCACGAAGCTTTCAAATGCCATCCATGAGAGTTCCCATAAGAGAATGTTATTTCAAATGTAATCCATTAGTTAATGAGCAGTCGGCTTATAGACACTTTAAATGCCAAATATGACCGCAAACAGACTTAAACGAAACGCAACGCAACAACAACGACGAACGAAGAAAAAACAACAAAAACAACGGCATGCAGACATACACCCAACATTGTTTCTCAGCTTATTTGCATGGAAAACAATAGGGCAAAATCATTATTAAAGAAATCCAAAAATAAAGAAAAAACACCCTGAATAACAGAAACCAGAAAAAAACGAAACGAAACATGCACAACTCGCGAACATAAATGCATGCCCTCCACTAAAACACATCTAGACAAAAACCCCCCATTCCGGCTAAAACAGGGACAACTACTACATATATAATACACCAACAACAATGCTGATGAGAGGATATGCAATTAAAGTTACACCATTTTATTTTACTCAGTAAAATAAAACCAACAAAGAGCACGTCAGAAAGAGAGGGAGACATCAACAACACACTTTACTAAATCAACAATAACAATGGAATTGATAAGACAAAAAGAGATAAAGAGAGAGTGCACACACACTCAATTGGTAAAGGTGGAGTTGAGAATAAAACAAACAAAACTAACACCCATACCATGGAACATAGCCTGAACAACCAATCGTAATCAACTTCGAATTGTGGTGCCATTGGTTGTTTCATTCTCTCTAATGGTTGCTGAAGCCCACAATGAAATTCATAAGGGGTTTTTGTTGGGATTCTTATAGAGCTGCTGTTGTTGTTGCTGCCGTTGTGGTGGGGAAAAATCATGGTTGTGGCGTAAATATTTCTCTGGCATGTTATTAGACAGTTGCTTGTTTAAATACGGCGAATGCGCACGTCTCTCTAGAACGGACGGATTCTGTTTGACTTAATTAGTGAACAAAAAACAAAAAAAATAATGACAACTTTTTACAAAACAGAAATATTTCAATTCAAATACTGATTGCAACGGTGTAATCATATAAACGGTATAGTGAAAAGAAGAAAACAGATTTAAACAATAATTAAAGTGGATCGCAGCATAAAATACTTAGTGATTTTTGGAATAAAACCGAATGGATAACAACAAACACAAGTCGTCATATTAACGTGTACGTAAATATCACAAAACATATACACAACTACATATACATATATATGAATAAATGCTATGCTATGGCCCAGACGGCCCAGACATTTTCGCATTCTTTAATTTCCGCAACATTTAAATGTTGAAAAAAAAAAAAACAGCAACAGCAACATCAACAACAACAAAACGAAAAGAAACAAATGTGGTATCCAAATTGTGAATCGTTGAAAAAAATCTAAAAAATTCACGTGAGAATTTTAATTACATGTTTAGTGAATATTTAAAGAAATTCTGAAATTCTTTTTTACTTTTTACTCAATGAAAAAGTGATTCATTATAAGCTTAAAGTATTTTTGCGTTAATTTTTTCAACAACAGAAAAAATTAGTCAAATATCAACAAAATTTTTTCATTGGTTGTTTTGAATGCGACATTTTATCCAAGCATAATTGTGGGATTAGCTGTCTAATTTATGATATAACGGTATGTTGTTGTTTTTTTATTCGCATATATATTTTCGAAAATGTGTGCTTGACATTTGGGGTATGGTTTTTTGAGATGTAATTTAAAATATGTTAGAATATATTATTGAGATTTATGAAAAGTTTAAGGTTTTAGAAAAACACAGCTAAACAAAAACATTTCGAATGTTTTATTTAAAGTGAGATTTATACATGTGATAGAAATTCATGTTTTCTTTCCATCTACCGTCTTTGGATAGAAGAACACGGATTTAATTATATTTTTTTAATGATGTATTTGTGTTTAAAGCTGTTCTAAATCACAAATGGAGATTCAAATAATATTTCATTTTAGAAATTCTTAATATTAATCGATGAAGTCATGTATATTGATAGTAATTGCAATTTTGGTTTTAATTTTAATTCTATTATTCCTGGATTGTCCATTTTATACACTGAGTATCTGAAGGATTATAAATTGCAATCAAACTACAAATCGATATTATGGGCCGACCGTATGATACTAGATTCAGAACAACATATTTTGTTGATGATTTTTAGGCCGTATTTCTAGTGACTCCAAACGTCACAATTATGAAATGAACACCAGGAAATTATTGTGTGATTCTAGGTCGGATGTGTGATATTAGGTCATAATATCGATTTCAAAATATTTATTTTTTAATTTATAATTCATTCCTTTCCTACAGTGTCCGACGGGTTGAAAATTAAATAAAAATATAATTTTACGTCGAAGATAATACTTTATTTACATTTTTAAATGATTATGTTAAAAATCTCCTTTAACATCGGCTCGTATATAAGAATAGCGATTTGTTTTAAAGTCCAAAGTGGGTAGAAATCGTTACTTAACAAAATACTATATCTTAATAATTAACTCTCTACGATAGTACTGCTCTATTTTAAAAATAGATAACAAGTTAAAAACATATTACAATTTTAATATTTCGGGTTTCAATGCGTCAATCTCTTCAAATGGTTTATATTTTCTTTGCTTCATTATATTGCAACCGTCGGACTTTTTTCTTTAACATTGGTTAATATTTTCTTAAGGTTTATTCTTTTGAATTATTATATTTATCTTCCACGCGAAAAGTTTTTCAATTCACATGTGTGTTTTGGATCAATGAGACATAATTATGAATTCATCTTATATAGCTCGAATAGTTCTTGATTGAATCCATTCATGTTTTCAATTTCTTATCTTTGTAAATGCCTTTTTAATTTCATCGAGATATCGATAGGAGATTATGGACCAACCATGTCCCAAATTTACCAGCATATTTTATTTCGTTCCTTTATTTTAATTTATTTGAACAAATTTTAATTTTATTGAAAAAAATGTTGCCATATAGTGGATAACTGGCATAATTTCTAAAACTCGAAATCTGTCTTTCAACTATTAGATATTGATTTCTACTGTAATTTGATCATTTTTAGAAATTAATAATATCTAAATGGCCTATACCATGGTAATTTTTTGATAGAAAACCCTGGGTTTCAACGTGTCCAAAATCGATTGAAGGGACACTGTTATATGGGGCGTAACCCAAAACTTAACTCTATATGGATAGTGTGTGGTAATGAAATTTTTCTTCAAATGACAATCCAAAATACTAAATTACAATCTGTTGAAAATCCAAATTTATGTGCAAAAGTTTCCAAATCAGCTTATATCGTGATTTTAACAAACTGATATTTCTAATTTCGACACAACAATTTATTCTGATCGAGAATATTTATATACTATCGATGAATATATCGATATATTGTAAGCGGAATATGTTTTATTGAACTGTTCTTGGGCATATTTACATTGTATCGGATTGTATCTAAATTGCAAATTCCATTACATATAGGTAATGGAATAATAAATAAATCCTCATAGAAGAGTTTAACCCGACCCGAAATCTCCAATGTAAATTCCATTTTACATTCGTACTTCTCAAGCATTTTTAATTTGTTTTTAGTTCGCAAAAATTCATTTAGGCGCCACATTTTATAATACCTCAATTTTTTTTCATAAATTATATTTAAATATTAACATCAATATTCCTCAACAAATTTTGACAACAATTTTTCTTTCTTTACAGATTTTACACACACAAATGTAATTGCAATAAAAAATCATCAAAAATCAAACATAAAAAAAGATAAACTAAATAAAAAACAAACCTCTAATTACAATAACGGTGCGCGGTTTAAGCGGTCTTTCGTGATTCGTTTACAAGTGAATAATCCACGTTCAGCACACACAACACAACTCATCCCCTACAAAACAACTGATTTAATAGCAACCACAACAATTACAATAGTTTAAAAAAAATAAAAATTAAATATCTGTAAATGTTTCAGTGATAGCAACATCGGCTGACAGGTAGGCCGGCAGGCAGACAGAAATAAAGTGCATCAATTACTGTGAAATTATAAAAAAACGAAAGACCAACCAAACAAACAAACGTGCATACACCTCTGCATGTATGTACTACATGTATGTCTGCGTGTGTGTGAGTTTTCTAATGATTATAGTTAATTGAAATTGAAAATTAAAAAAGGAAACGCAAAGAGAAAAAAATAGCAAAAATACAAGAAATTCAAGTGAAAAAATTGCAACAACAACAACAACAGAGCAATCATATGTAAATGTAACAGACAATGGATGAGTTTATTTCTTAGAATTTAACTGCATAGAAACGAATCGAGGAAAAAAAACAGAAATACAACTACCAACAATTACCAGTGTAAAACAACAATAATAACAACTAAAGCAACAACGTCGGCCCCAACTGACAAGCTCTAACATTGCTGCTGAACAAACGAAAATAAATTAAATCTGTAATTACACATGAGAGCAAAAAAGATTGTCTAGGAAATTAAAATTACATTGGGAAAGCGTTTTTCTTTGTTTTTTCTGTTTTACTTGCCAAGCAAAGGCAAACAAGAAGCACCAGCTGCCAAACGAACAAACTTGTTTGAACATCTGGCCAACCAACGGCAATAGCAAAAAAGAAAGAATAACGCAAAAAAAAAAAAAACGTTAACTATATCAACAAAGTGATTCAATACTACTTACATTGTTCCGAAGAAGCTGTAGCTGTAGCAGAAGCTCAAGTGGTGTTCTTCTTCTGGTTTTGTGTTTTTTGCTATTGCGAACGAACGTGTTTTCTGATTTCAAATATCAGAATTTTAAGCCACGTTTTGAGAGCCTACCATGGCAGTATCCTGCCCTGAAGTAATGTACGGTGCTTATTATCCATATTTATATGGCCGTGCTGGACCCAGTCGCTCATTTTATCAATATGAAAGGGTAAGTAGCAGTGAAAAAAAATATCATAAACAAAATCAAAAAAATTCAAAATGTTTATTCAAATCTTCCAAACATTTAAATTCTGAGATTTATGATATTATATATCTAAAAAACAAACACTAAATTACAGATTTTTGTTTTTTTTTTTTAATATCGAAATTGGGGAAGTACCGTTGTATGGAGGCATCCCTAAACAGTGGGGCTATATTAACAATTTTTCGTAGGAAGACTTGCTACCCATTAGGAAATGAAAATATTGTGGAGGTTATAAAACGTGAACTAAGACCTACTAAATTGCTACTATAAAAATAAAGTGCCTGAACATAAATAAGATCTCCAAGTATTGCAAATTCTGACAATTTCTGTAACTCTGATCCAGCCACTATCTCACAGGGTTCCTAGCCGGTGCACTCAACTCATCTTTCTGTACAATATTTATGTTTAGTTTTTAAATCGATAGGAATATATATGAGGGAATATATTCCTTGCAGTATTTTCACAAATCCTTGCTATTTTTTACTAAATACTACTTCAATTTATTTTCTTCGGCAATAGGAAATGCAGTATTAGTAAAAATGGTATGGAATTGGTGCGTATACGTTGTGACAATACTTATACGAATCTTTTAACCCAAACTAAAATATCAAATTTTATTGTTTTTCAAAATATATTTGAGTTCATTGCCTATGTAACAATTTTCGATTATCTCCTGATTCAAATTCTAATCCAAGAAAATCTTATAAACCGTTGCTGAACCGTAGAAGTTAATTCACCTTTAGTTCGGTCAATTTTTTCATATATATGCTGAACGTTACAATTACTGCACCGATATCTAATCACATCATCATGATATGTCTGAGCGGCAAACTGAGGTCCAGATCGGACAATTCCTAGTAGGTCGAATATGCTAAATACTCAAAGTCCATTGCTGCGTATACGTTGTGACAATACTTATACGCACGCGATAACTAAGTTGAATATTATTTCGTTGTACTGAGAAAACGTTCCGTATTTTTGCCGATTAATGGAAGTGACACTTTGAGTATTAAATGAGTATTAAAAAAACTATTGCATAATTTTTCTAAATTATACTCCAATATATCCTCATGGTTTCAAAGCAAATATTTGCTTCTACTTTCTTCCGAGAAGCTGATTTTTAGATTTTCAAGAGATCGGTAAGGATAGCGCGGCACTATTTCGGAATGTGTTGATATATTTTAGAATTTTTCTCATACAAAATGTTTGGAATGTGTTTTCATCATAATCTGATCTAATGTCAGAGAGGCCAACTGAAGTCTATTTTTCATTGCTGACAATACTTATGCGCATTCTTTACGCCAAATTAAAATGTAAATTTTGTAAATTTGGTTTTACAAAAATATATTTATGTTTAAAGACAAAAAAAAAATTATGTTTTAAAGCATATTCTGTTCATGCTGTATACTTGTATATTTGTTTAATAGACTTTTTAGGATTAATGTGGGAATACCGGCCAAATGTTTATAGTGCATTGCGGCGTATACGTTCTAACAATAGTTATACGCATCCTTTACACAAAAATATAATGTAATTTTATTTTAACAAAATATATTTAAGGTTAGCCAAATTATTTTTGAAGAGAAAAATAGGTTCTGTATGGAAACATATCATGTCTACTTTCGGAACGTGTGGCATTTGTTTTCAACATTATTTGGGATTCTTAAATTATAAATTTAAAAAATCAATTTGCTTCCCATGATACATTTGATAGCTTTGTTTAATATTATCTGGCTATTCGGACTGATCTGATCAAATATATTTCAAAATGTCTACAATGTTTTTGGGCAGATTTTAATAAAAGTGACCAAGCAAAGGACTCAAGGTAGTGAGAGCACATTCTATCACAAATATTCTTAAAAATGTAATTTTAAAATTATACAATCACATCCCTCAAACAAACTATAACACCTCAATATGATTCCCTTTAAAATCGGGTTTATTTCTTTATGTTTGACCCATTGCTGAAACAATTTTCCCACGATACCCATATTTGTATGTCAAACAGTTTGCTACGACCGCTCTTGTTTTTTTTGTAGGTTATCACTATGGATAAAATGCCCAGAGTGTTGTTTTTAGCCAACAAACACAAAAACTCTTTACGATTAAAAGTTCAGTTGTTGTTTTTTTTTCTTTCTTATTTTTCGATCTTCTTTCTTTCGAAAGGAGTTGAACGAAAAAACTAGCTGTCGCTTCAATACAAAGGGATTCCAGTGTCCAAAAGGCCCCAATTATACAAGGCCACAGCATTAACTACGAATTGACATTTCTTGGCAAAGTCCAAAATTGAAGAACAACAAAAATGCTCAAGAGTGGTTACCTTTTGCATAAGCATGTTGCATACAAGTCCATGTATGATGATGATAACAGCGGCAGCAGCAGAAGCTGCTAAAAGTAGCATCAGTCCATGTTGTGGCATGGCCATGGAGGAGTAACATTTTAAAATTGCTATTCCTTGTTTTTTTTTAAGCTTGTTTGTCCTGCAAATAAGAAAATCCCCAACTCAAAGAAGAAGAGGAAGATGAGCAAACAAAACAGAACGCAAAAGACAAAGTAACAAAACGTCGTTGTTGTTGTTTGTTTGGTATCATGTTTTTGGTAATTTATTGTCTTTGCCGCCATTAGTAGGAACGTTGGTGTCGGCTGCCTGTTCCTCGGTTTTTTCGTTTTGATCCAACCATAATAGCCGACATATCGCCGTCTGACGACCATACAAATACAAATGCGTAATGTGTGACTCAGAATAAAGATTCCCCAAATAAAACAAGAAGAGAAAATAAATTTTGAAGCACCAAAATTCACTGAACATCCAGAGCATTGACAACGGCTCATCATCATTGTTTCGTAGGAGTCGTGCTCTTTGTTGAGACAATCCATTTTTTTCTTTTGGGTAGAGAATTTGTCATTTAAATAAAGGCGTAGTCATAGAACTTCTAATGGTGGGATATTACTTTGAGGTTATGGAAACTTTTAGTAGACAATGGTCGTATAATATCAAGAGTTACTTGTTTAGTATAGTCAATCTGTACGTATTATTGTTGTCAGAACGAATACGCATCAGATCATTGTTAACCCATTTTATGAATAGATGAAATGTTTGACAGTAACAAGTTAAAAATCCAAAGCAATGTCGCAACAATTTAATTTAAAATTTTTAGTCTGCATTCTCTCTAATAACAAATATTTAGTTAGGCCTTCTATATACCTCCGGATTTCTGTCTAAGTCGTGAAAATAAGGGGTTTATTTCCTCCACAATATGAAATAAAGTCCCACTTGTAACGTAAGCAGAAGATGATTTTTAGATATTACAAAAATCAGTCTCCATTTCAATGGACCCATGCAAAGCTTTTGTCTATTTGAAGGATGTTGAGATATTTTTTATACTGAATAATTAATAGAGACACCAACTACGTACATGATTAATTAGCACGATAACCACGTGGAAGTTTGATCACTATAAAATTCTAATCAAAGCAAATGAAAATCTTAAACACAGTTGCGGATCAGTACATGTTGAGTAATCTTTCGTTCGGTCACAATATTCCACAGAATAGTGTCCGAAGTTCGAATTGGAATTACTGTGCTGCTGTATTTTCATATCATTTGAGCTTCGTCATAGCATGTCTAAGTTGCAGACTGAATTCTAAATAGGTTGTCAACTATGCAAAATACATAAAGTAGATATTTGTATCGTCCATTGTTGCGTATACGTTGTGACAATACTTATACGCACCATTTACACCAAATCCTGTCCCCATTCAAATTTCAAGTAAATATTTTTTATCTACAAGGGTATATTTAACACAAAAAAAAAAAAATGGGAGGTGTCTGTAAATGGCCAATAGGATGTAATGAAAATTGTCAGAAAGTAAATTCTATAAACAAAAGCATGCCTATTTTAATCGTGGTAGAACCTTTTTACTGCGTACATTTAGATGCTCTGCTTATTTCCCAGTACCATGTTTGTATGGATCTATGTACCAATAATTTACCCGTTCAATAAAATAAAAATAAATATGTGTGGATGATAGAGATCGTTTTTTGTGCCCACTGAGAAGCTGAAGTCATAACCTAGTCGATTGTAACTATAGTTTTTAAAATATATGGAATATTAGGGTTATCTTGTATATGAAGAAAATTAGGCCAAATTTAAATGTTACAAAAATAATTTACTGAACACTCCTATTTAAGCTACAAATTTATCTTTTTGCCTTCATATGCTTCCCCAGTTTTCCTCTGTTTTAAGGACGGCAGTATATTCTAGTTGTTACGATTTTTGAAGCTGGGGTATAGGTTAATTATTTCCTATCTATTTAAATTTGTTCTATTATAAATTTATTACAACAAATTATTTTTTTTTAAATAACTGTCTCAAAAAATCATACATATTTCAAAAAATATGTATTTCAAAATTCCTCAGCTCAATTATGTTCTAATAATGAAATACGAAAATATTTCACACCAAACAAAAACTGAACATTTTTCGAATTCTTGCAAAAATTAACAACTTTTTCCCATGATTGAAGGAAGGTCCACAAGAATTTCGAACTATAAAAATGAAGAAGAAGAATAAACAGAAGTTACACACTTTCACATATTTGTTGTGACTTCTTCTAAAAAGTAAATCGCATTGTGTTAAAGACAAATAGCTCTGTTTGAGCAACATCCAGTAGTGAGGAGGGTGGGGACGAGGTAACATAAACGATTTGCTGCGATCTTTTACTGATCTGTCAGTTGTTTTAAGCACATAATCAATGTTTGGTCTTATCAACGAACACGATCGGTAAGGAGAAAAAAGTCCAATTGCTTGACGCAATGGATGAGAACAATACCAAAATAAAAGAGGCGGGTGACGGGGCGAAGGACATTGCACAACAAAAAAGTGCAGTAGCACAGATGCCGGCAACAAAAGAGCATCAGTATTCAATGGACTGATCCTCCCTCGCCACCACACAAATCCACA